GAAAAGCAGTTGCTTTATTATCAGCACAACAAGGCCTACCTCAGACATGACTACCCTGGCAGACGGATTACATCCCAAAGTGTAGACATCAGAGACCATCATATTCTGCATACCCAGCCAGCTGCGTCATCAGCCTCTTATTCTATTTATTCTTGAAATACCTATTCTTACTCCAGTGATCAAACATACCATCATCTTGCCTAAGTGGAATGCAAAAAGGGATACAAGAAGTGGAACAGGAAACATCTGGAATGAGAAGTTATTTGGGGTGGAATGTTTAAATTAATTTTCATCTTGCTCTGCAGGCTGGGGAACAACTTTTCATTTTCATCCAGAAGGCTTATAATTTCACCCTGCGGCCCACAGAAACTTCAGGGCCTGCTTGTTACCTTCCAGCCTGGCTTAGCCACATGTTTAAAATATGGGAAATGTTCCTCAATCCAGGTATAGATGTCCTTCAGAGTCATACGCTTCTTCTCAGTGCTGTTGATGGCAAACTGGATCATGGCCATGTAGGAGTAAGGAGGTCTTTCTGATAATGAATTCTGCCATGAGGAGGAGCCAGCAGTAGTAGGAATAGCAGCAGCAGCAGAATCTTCTTCAGTCTGAGACACAGAAGGAATGATACATGAGTGCTCACAAAGTTGACAAAGGGCTGTGGAACGTCCCTGGATCCTCCAGGTTCTGCTATTCAAGTAGTAAAGACCAAACTCTGGTTAATTAGAGATAGTGATGCTTAGTTCTTGCAAGTCTTCTATTCCACATGGATTATTTCCCTATCAAAAATTTTAGCATTCACTCTGTTGTGTTCTCCTACTTACCTTAATTCTTTCCTGCAGAGGCATCTGGTTCTCTTTCTCTCTGTCTTGCTTCACAGAACAGGGACTTAGCCCATCAGATCTCATCTTCCCCAGCCACTGGATGTTAGTTAGACTATTGTCCAACACAGAGCTCGTCGTCTCGCCACTGCCTGTTGGGATAACAAGCCCATAGCTCTGCTCACTCACAAGTAACCCTCTTCCCCTTTCATCTCAAGTGCCAAAAGGCACTAATCACATTTCTAAATGAGGTATCCCTGTTTCAAGATAGGGACAAGGTAGTATTGCAATGTTAACATTTCTTGTGGAAGGAATTCAACCCTGAATTCCTGATTTCATGTAAATCTGCCCAATTTCTGAAAAAAGCTGCAGCCTTAAAAAACAAACACTGAAATTAGACTATTGCTCTCAACAAAACAGGGCAATGTTGATCCAGTACTTCAAGAATTCAAGTATTTTTAGCTAAAGGATGAATCTAGTAAACAAAGGCCAAGGAAGGTGGTGACAAACTCCAATCGAAATACCTAGCACAAGACCCACTCAGAAGCTCAGATGTCTCCAGGTTTTTTAACTGCAGCAATAAAAACTAAGTTTTGTTATTTCTGGTGAAGTTGATTGTAACGATGTAGCTACTGCAGCTGTCTGTGGGCTCCCATCAAACAGTACTATACTGTGGGATAAAATCTACTATAGCTCAAAAGCTACATAGCTATTTTAAGTTGCAAATACAAATTTGATCCGAGCAGTGTTTCAAACTAAAATCCATCCACCTTCTAACATTTATTCAGCAGCTTCATGAGACTGACAAGGACAAAACAGACTTGCCACTTATTTATTAAAGGATGGGAATCATCTCTTTTTTTAAAGCTCTAGGCCCATGCGCTTTATCACTGACGAGGGTACTCTACGTTAGTATTGAATTCAGCCATAACCCTTTTCCTAAATGAAACTTAGTCTTTTGTTTTTCTAGACTTGATTTCTTAAGCCAGCCCTTCTTTTTTTCCCCAAAAACTAAAATTTTGCTTTGCTGTACAACTTCATACGCCATCTCTTCCACCAAAAATATATCCACTAATATCCTTCTTATTTCACTACATATGCATAGGTATGCTGATTATTAGAATCAAATCCATAGCTATTTTGTAAATAATGAAATAGTTTTCATTACTGCATGTTGAAATCCAAGCATTACACTCACTGGCCCACTTCATATCTCTTTGTCTATCTGTCAAGACAAAAAAAAGGGTAAAGATTACATACTGTTGCTCTCCTGTTTTTGTCCAATCACAGGATCAATTCCTGAATGCCAGAGCATCTTCCCCCCTGCAACACCAGGTGTCTGTGTAACATTCTTCTCTCTTTCTTGACCGCGAGCAGCCTTGGTTGCTGTGCTGGTATTCCTCTCTGATGGGAGATGCTGTGATGGTGTTGAACCTGCAGAACAGGATGTGCCCCCACTGCTAATGAGAATGAACTTGTTGGGCCCATTGTTGCCACATTCTTTTCCTTTTGCTGTCAGTGCCTCTATGATGCTCTGGATATCAGCATTTGTAGGGATGGCTACAACTTGTGTGTTGGGCATGGTAGGATGGTCAATTATCTTTATTCCTGCTGGGAATGTCTGCGGGCCACTGTCCATTTTGTCTCTGGGTTGGCTGTTGTGCTGGTCCTCCTGGCTGTGCTCCTGTATAGGAGTCTTTTCATCCTGACCACTGTTCTCATCTCTTGCTGAAGTACTGGGTGCATTGTTCTGTGGGAGGGTCAGTTTCCGTCTTTTGAGAATTAAAGGCCTGCAAGGGCTGGTCCTCATTATAGATCTATACAGTCACTCTCCATTGAAAGGGACAAGAACAAATCCTACAAAACAAAAAATACAACATAAGAATGAAGAGGGCAAGAACAGCTTAGAAAGATGTAGCAAATCACCACAAGCCTCTCACAGAGCACATATTCTCAGCAATTGTTACAAAGTTAGAAACAAGGAAGTAAAATAAGAAATGAAAGTGTTTAATAAGGTTGACAAGGCTATTAGAAAATAGTACGGTACCTCCTTTATCCAAACCTTGTAAAAGCAGGACAAGGAATATATTACCCGAGTAGATAATCTGCATCATAATTTGGGAGCCACAGAGCACATAATAATGAGGAAAGTATGTATATGTGCTTTACAGAAGGAGAGACTAAGACTTAGCTGTAAAGTGACTTGACCAGCATCAGCCAGCAAGGTGGAGGGAAGCGAGAGAAGGTAGAACATAGAAATAGCAGTCCTGGTATCTCATTGCCGTAAGAAGCAGATCATACAACCCAAGAGAAAGGGAACTTAACAGATGGTTTAAGATCTGGGAAGTAGAGATTGTCCTGAACACTACAAAAGCACATAATAAATGCAGCAGAATGTAGGTACTTTAAAATAAATGTAAAGAAAATGCTTTAAGTTATTCCTTCCGTAGATTTGTCAAGAACCAGATAAATTCATCGTTGGGCAGCCTGCAACTTAAATGTCAAACTTTTGGACAACAGACAATTTAGATCATAAAGCAGAGGAGATAAAACTCAGAGATACTGCTTTCAGGGGAAGATGCACTGTCTCACTTCTGAGAACATCACTTCCAAAATATCATGCCATTCAAGAATCAGGTGAAGGCTGGCTCTTGCAACAAACTAAAGCAGGACAAGAATACACAAATTGTACTTACTGTTTATCATTAAGGATGACAGGCAGAACAGAAACAAATAATGAAAAAAGAGGCCTTTTGGACTGGTAGACTTGACTGAGCCAGCTAGTATGCAAGAAAATACACAGTAGGAATTACCTACATAGATACAAACCAGAAAGAGTCCAGAAAAAAACCCTGAGTTGATGTCCTACGTGCAGGGAGCAGGCAGCCCTGTAGTCAGAGGCTGCCCAGCAGCCGGAGGCCACCAACAGGAGACACAAGTTGCAGCAACCAGACACACACATGACCCTTTGAAATCTGCTACACTCCCTTGAAGAGAGATCCCCGTAAGACAGTGACGAAAGAGTAACCTTTACCCAGCCTCCAAACGGTTGCATTCCCTGCAGGAGCGAGCTGCTTCCTAAGGCCTCGAGGTGCTACCACCGGTATAGGCTCAGGAGCAACCCTGCGTACGCGCGGCCCCAGCGATGCTAAGGGGAGGAGCACTAAAGGGCTCCTAGCTCTTTCCCCACCCACTCCAACCCCAGCCCTGCCGCACTAGCCGGTAAGCCCGTCGGCTCCCCCAGAGGCCCTGGGCCCCGGCCCGGGCCTCGACACTTCTCTTTCCCAGCCGCCCTACGCTTTTGGCGCGGCTTTCACGGCGTTGCCAGCCCCCGCTGTCTCCAGCTCCGGCGGGGAGACGCCGGAGAGCGGTAGGCTGCAGCGGGGGCAGGTGCCGGGCACCGGTCACGACTCACCACGTCCCCAGCCAGGCAGGGGGATACAGAGGGAGGCGACAACTCCAGCGCTTCCGGACTCCGCCACCACTCGCGGCAGAGGGTCGTTTCCCGGTTTGAATTTGGCGCCCTGCGACTCGCTGGCGTCACGTGCCAGCCTGGACCAATGAGATACGGCGGGAGCGGGGCGGGCCAATGGGCTGCGGCGGCGGGGGATGCGGATGTGCCGGTAGCCCGGGAGGGGTTGGGTGTGGGTCGGGCCGCGCCTCGGGAGAGCCGCCCCCCCCCCCCCAGCAGAGGGCAGCCCCGGGAGCTTCCCGCAGCCGCGCCGCCGCGGCGGGGAGCCCGGCCGTGTGCCCGGCCGCCGGCCCGGCGCGGTCCCTTGCGAGGGGCCGGGGAGTTTCAGCGGTTAAGGAGTGTGACGGCTGTGTCTGGCTAGGGGGGACTGGCGGAGGAGACTGCGCGTTTGGTAAGCAGTCAGACTGTTGCGGTCTTAGGAATTCGTGCGAGGGAATGCATTTCTCAGAAAACGTTCTCTTCAAAATTCCTTACCTGTGTACTAATCTGCCTCTGAGTGGGAAATTAAATTCAATGTCACTTTAGTTAAGACTCATTCACTGGGAAAAAAAAAAAAAAAAAAGAGGCAAAGCCACCCTCATGCAAGATATATATAATACAGGAAGGAAATGTCAAGCATGTTCTGTATTTAAAAACTTTAAAATTCCTGAAACTAAAACATTAAGTAGTTAGCGACTAGATATGGAAAGACTTCTGGTTATCTTGGCATTACAAACCAGTTTTATGGATTAAACTGAAAAAAGAAAACAAGTTTTTCTGACTTTAAATTCCGAAACCATTATTTGTCTGTAACTAGACTAGATATTGAGCTAATGTGGAATTATTTCTCTACATTTTTTTAATAGCTGACTTGACATAGCTGGTTCAGTAGGTCAACTACTCCCATTCCATTTTTTTTTTCCTTCTTTCCCAGTGGCTTGAATTTCCTTAAAATTTCAGTGACCAAGCCTATTCTAAATATATTTGATTCTGTATTTCTATATTTCAGTAGTTTAGTCAGGCCTTCTCACAGATGGATGTCTCTCAAATTATCTCTAAAATATTTTTATGAAGAAATGCACTTATGTGAGTTTGCCTGTCTTGTATATTTAAAATATGTATTTTCATAAGAAACTAATTTTTCCAGTACCGTTGAGTCTTACCCAAATGTCAGTTCAGAACTCCTTTTGCAGCTGGGACATTTGTTTTGTTTGTCTCTCCTCCAATGTATTTGGTTATCGGCTCTCATGAAGCTTTGTAGTGTTTATCTCTTCTGCTGTGTATTTCTGAATCTACCTGAAGGCAGATTCAGAAACAGCAGAACAGAAGGTTCAAAAACTGCTGATAGAAAAAAGTCTGTGTAGAGGTGTGTACACTGTATTGTTGCATAAATATTTTACTTCTGTTAAAAAGTAGATTTGAGCTTTCCAAACAAGTTTGTCTTCAAGTCCATTTATTTACCTTCTACAGATTTAAGAGCACTTCAGCATCTCTATGGTGTGCTTTCCTCTTTCTCCAGTTGCCTCTCGAAAGCATCATGAGGTTTCTAAGTGGTTTTACCATATCTTTTGATGCCTCCGAAGAAGAAACGTACCCACAAGGCCAGGAAGGCAGAGCTGGTATTCCTTGAGAGGCCGCGAGAGGGACCCGTCCAGTGCTATGAAACTCGGCTGCCTTCGGCCGAGAATCCAAGACGTGTTCCTACAAAATCTGTAGACCAGAGCACTTCTGCTGTCTGGGTTGGTATAGACTATCCTTCCCCCTGCATCCCACAGCACCGGTTTTCAAGTTTCTCACACATGTCTCAACAGAAAGCTATCTGTTCTGGGTCCTGAAAATTAGTATCACAGACCTGAATTCACTGTAGCTGCCTAAAGCATAAATAACTGTTTTTGAGTTGCTTCCCATTCTAACTACAACCACTAATTTCTTGGTTATTTGAAGGCATAAAACTGTGTGCAGGGTGTACTGATTAGTATAACTATTTTTATTCTGAAAAACTAGTTATCATCAGGAAAACACTTTTCTGTGGTAACTGAAATCCCTGCATATAATAAACAGAAGAGAAACTTTTTTAATCGGCTTGCTGCTTGAAATAACGGCTGAACTCCAAATGTTACATGTTAAAGTACTAGATGTTTTGTTTAAATCTGACACTATTAAATTTAGAGAATATAGGCTTTCACTTCAGGGTTATTTGTTCTAACCTGCCCTCTTTTACATTCTGTGTGTTTTGAATAGTTTCTTTCCATATCACTCTTCTGACAGGCTCCTTGTCTAGTCTGAAAAAATATTCCAGGGACTGTTTGCAGCATCCTAGGATTTTCCTGATGTAATGTAAAGATTTCGTTTTTAAACAAACGGGTGCTGCAGAGGCAGACTGTTCCTATACAACAATAATCATCGCCTAGGGGAGCTCTGTTTAAGCATCATTGTCACTTGACACTGTTCTTCACAAAGCAGGCTCAGGAAGTGTGGTTTCAAACCTACATGAAACATTCCTTTGTTCCTGGTGTCCTGGAGTTATTTTTGTGATGCCTTAACCTTGAAGTAGAACATGTTCAATGTTTTCCAACTTTAATTTTTTTTTTAATATGCTTGAGGCAGTTAGCTCTATGGCTTCTGAAACAGTAAAATAACTGCTGTGAGTAAGCATTCTTTTTTTTGGAAGAGGTGGAAATACCCACACTGGTACTTGAGTTCTTTGATTCCAAACATACAATGATTCTAAAATCTATTCAAAGTTATCAGCACTGAAACTGTTAGATATTTTTCCATCTGAAAATCTTGGTAGGTTCATAACTTCCTCATCTGCAGAGTTTCTGTCAACTTGTTTCAGAGGCAATTGATTTTCCCTCCCTCTCCTCTTGTTGTTATCTAGGTTTTTCATACTTTCTTGAGTGCTAGACTCCTGTTTTAGTAAAGCTTACCCTACGTGTTCTCTGAAGCCAGGAAGTCATAGCCTCAAAGTCAGTGGTTCACCTGTGATCTTTTAAGTATATGTCAGGATAAAATTATCAGGGAATCATTTCTCCCTTTTCTTACATTAAGGCTTTGCATTCAAATAGTTCAGCTGTACAGCAGACAGTCGCTACACAGAATTAGATTGCACTTAAGTTTTTTGAGGAACTATGTAGTAACTCAGGAATGCTGAAAGGGATCTGTAGTTATTGCTGCTAGAACCCAGTTTAGTGTGCTCTAGGGAAAAGCAAATTGCAAGAAACAGAACCTGATTCTTTTTGTTGATACCCAGGAAGATAAAGAATACCATAATAGAAGGATTTTCAGGTTTCGAGTAAGAGTTCAGAATATTTCAAATATAGATTGTTGAGCCTTGACCATCTTCTATAGAGAGCTGATTTTAGAAGTGGCTTTTGGGTGATCTGTTACTCCAGATACAGAGATTAACTACGTTTTGAAGTAAAGATGTTTTGGAGGAATATTGTGGAAGCCATATTAACATAATCTAAAGCGGTGGAGCTAAGTGAGCATCCTTTAAATACTTTTGTATCGCTTTTAGTTCAACCTCTATCTGTGCAGTGAGACAGAGGATGTAATTCATTGCATCTATTCAAAGTTATGCTAAGACACAGAAAGAAACAGGATCCAGCTCTGAACTGTTTTAAATCTCCAGGGGTTACAGGAGTAGGGACCAGTTAGATTTTTCTTTAAAACACAAATCTTGAGGTTTTTAAGTTGCCTGATAATTAGCTCACTTGTACCCCAATTGCTTCTCAGAGAAAAGTGGCAGAACATGTTTAAGTTCAGAGGTATCTCCTGCTTAGTAACTTGGTTAGTGACGGATTTGTTTTGCTGCAGACCACATTACCCACTTAATGAACACACTGCAAAAAGGTGGGATAGATGGGGGAGTAGAATTAGGTTGGCAAATTTGTTTGTCTGGAGAAAATTGTTGTTCTTTTCTTATTATTATGTCTTTCCACTCAGGTGTGCCCACAATTTGAAACAACTGAGTCAGTGGTGTTGAAAGCATGTCAGAAGAAGAAGCATTGTGGTCCTCACAAACCCAAGAATCAGGACGCCAACCACAGTTTGCTCCATGCAGGAGAAGCCTGTCGAAGAGCTATCGTTTGCAAACTTACTCCTTTAACTTTTGAAAATCCAGAAGGATATGCAGTCCAGCCTTTGGATCATCTGAATCACTCCAGGAAGAACACACAGCACATTCACAGGCAGCCCAAGAAAGGGACAGCAGCAAAAGTCAACATCCAGGTGAACAGTCTGGAGAACTGTAGAGAAATAGAGAGACCTTTGTTACGTGCTCCCCAGCCTGTGGAGCCAGGAGTCTTTAGTCCAGCAGATGTAGACACTCCACAGGTGCCTTCCATAACGAACTGCAGATGCAGCAGCACTCTGCCACAAAGAAGTAGCAATGCCTGGCATCCAGAAAAAGAGCTGGGATTCAGTATTGATCCCTGTGGGAGAGGGGAGCCAGCAGTACTGATTACAGATACTCCCGAGCATGAGTATGGAGTAAAGGTTACTTGGAGACAGCGGCCTCATCTAATGAAATACCTGCAGGAGAGAGGGAAGTTGAGTGCTGCTGACATCATGGTGAACACCGAGCTCTTGAGGAGACAGGCTAACGTCTGACTTGGTAGGAGCAGTAGTTCTGTTATCTGCAAAGACGTGTCCAAATAGACAGTGTTACTTTCAAGGATGAAGAGGAGAGACGATTTGAACCGAGCCCTGTGCTAGGGCTAGCTAATCCTCCTGAGAAACGACGCAGAGCCACCGTAGAGGGTGTTTTCTTGGGGATGGGGCTATGCTGCGCCGGGCTTCCCAGGGGAACTGGGTGGCTCTGAAAAGCACTTTTTAATCTACGTGGCTTCTTGTAGGGGCTGTTACCCCAAGCCCTGAGGAGGCGGAGGGTAGGGAGCAGCAGGGCCTCACCTCAGCCGCCCCAGGGGCGCCCGGCTGCGCGCGCGGGAAGGTGGCTGGTCCGCTCTCCGGCCCGGCACAAGCGGCCCTCGTCCCGCGCGTGCGCGTGGGCTTGTCCCGCCCCGCTGAGGGGCGCCCTGGCCAATGGGCAGGCTGCATGCTGCGCCTTCGACCAATGGCGCCGCGCTTCAGTACCGAGTTCCGTTGCCAAGGGTAGCGGCGAGGCCGGAGCTGGGCGCGGCGGCCGGGGCCCCATAGCAACGGCGGGGCCGGGGATGGAGAGCGCGAGGGGCCGAGGTGGCTCCGCCGGCGGCAGGTGAGAAGGGCCCGGCCTGGCGGGGCGGCGGGCGGCCCGGTGCGGCGTTTCCCCGTACGGTTCCGACGGCCGGGCGGTGTTGCGGGTAGGCGGCGTCCCCGGGAGCTGGAGCGACCTGGGCCGGGGCTAAGCAGCGCTCCGCGCGCAGCAGAAGAGGCGCCGCCGGCCGCGCGGCGCCCGGTGTCGGGTTGAGCGGCCGCAGCAGGACCTGGGCGGGCAGGGCTGCGCGCGCCTGTGGGGCGGCCGCGCGCGCGTGGGGCGGCAAGCCGCGGGGCAAGGACCCGCGTCGTAACGTCGCGCTGCCGCCTGCGTGTTGTGGCTGCTCAGCGCCGGTAACATCCGCTTCCCGCCGGCGTGCAACAGCTGTGTAAAACCCGGCTGTACGTTACGTGCTGAGCTCTTCAACATTGCACATGATGTGTCATCTAAATACCTGTAGATTAAACTGGTTTTGGGAGGTTTTGGTCCATTGCTGCTTGTTTCTGGATGTTGCTGTGAAGCAGTTTTGCAGTTTTATTCTGCGCTCCGGTTTCCAGTGAAGCTCTTGGGGTATAGGGTATTCCCCAGAGGAACTTAACTGATGTCATACAAAAAAAAAAAACAAAAAACAAACCCACTGTGAGCTTTGGAGAAGAGATTTTTGGAAAGAGATTATTCCTGTGCCACTTGAATAGCTCAAGACTGAAATTATTAGAAGTTAAATGTGAGGATACAGACAGGTGGTGGATATAGGTTTTGACAGAATTAGTGTGATTGTAAAAACACAGGAAAAAGTATCTTTTGTGCCTCTTATGTTTGAATATGGAAAGGAAAAGCGAGTAAAGAGAGAAACCTAAACTTCTAGTAGCTGAACCATAATGAACATAGTGTAGAAGAGAAACAGCGCTTATGACAAACACTCAGTAATTTTAGTTGAAGGTGAAAAGAGGCAGAGTTAGAAGGGGTCACATCACTTGGGTCCACCAACTATGCTGTGAAACATTAGAAGATGACTTTATGCAGACTTTAAAGGCTGAGGTTTGTATACGAATTTTGGAAACAATTTTTGAAAAACTGATGAGCAGATGCACATAAATTTTCTTGCATAGATATTAGATATTTGACAGAGTTGAAGCTACAAGAAATTGTGCAGCTTTTCTGATAACATTTGTACTAGTATAATTTCTGCTAAGAAACTTGTTTTGCATACTTTTATGGGTAGCCTAACAATAATGAGAGTTCGTGTCATAGCTGCTTCCCTCCCACCCCCCAGTTTATTAAACAAACAATCCATTTCCTTAACTTTCTTAGTCTCCATGTTACAGTAAGAAAACTAGAATACATGAACTTAAATAAAAGTGCATATTTTTTTTTAAAAATAGATCCTTAAGGCCTGTTATTTATAGGGGTCTGACTCTGAATTGAAAGTTCAGCAGCACTATAATAAATTGCAGGAAGACAAAATATTCTTAAGAAGGATGTTTTTCTGAGAAGAGAATAGTAAAAATATCCATAAACCACTAATCTAGTCATTAGAACTCTTGTTTGGTAAAATAATTGTCAGTTATCCAAAGAGTGGTTTGTATAGAAGTAGTAAATGTGATACATAGTAACTGTCAGTTCATAGCAATGAAGATACTACCTGTAAAGTTTTAAAGAGCTGGACCTGAGAACCATCTGGCAGCTTTTTTTTTCTTTTTTTTTTTTTTAACTGAGGTAGAATACCTTTACTATTGAGTAATATGCAAAATAGACATTAAGATATAAAAAGTATTTTATTTCTGATGGACAGAAGTGAAGGGAACAAGTGAAAAAAATAAATGTGTGTAGTTTTGTAAATGGGCTATGGAATGCTTGATGGATAGACAGCTGAGATCTTGGCTTTTGGCTATCTCTGAAACAGGCTGTTCCTTGAAACTATGTCACTGTATTAATCTATCTTCTGTTTGAGGTATCTGCAACTGAAATTGCTCAAGTTCATTTTAAAGTTTGATTGACTTTCAGGTAGACATGGCACAAACAACTGTCTTAATACTTTAGAAAATTATAAGGTTGATAGTGCTATTTCATAGTTTTGATAAGTGCTATACCTTATGTCTTTATTTGGGAAAGTCCATTTTGAGACAACATTAAATTAATAACATTGAATGCAGTAGAAACATTCAGATAAAAGTAATTCTAAATCATTGTTATCTTTTAAAATATTGAGAAAGGAAATTGGTTCTTATGGTAGTAGGTATTTTAAAATCTTGGAGACTGATGAACTTCACCTTTTTGCGCACTAATTATGTAATACACAGGAATACTTAAAGCTTCCCACGTGCTGCCTTCCAAATGTGCTTCAGCTTCTGACTTGCAGATGTCAATGTATAAAGAACATAATTTTCAAGGTGCAGAAGTTTTGACCAAGTCTACAGAGATCACAAAACTGGCTGTCAGCCACAGTGGTCCCTCCCATAATTTGTATGCTTCTTGGGTGACTAGACATGTAGGAGTTAGTGGTTTTCAGTTTGTGAACTCAGGAACACTGGGATACTTCCTCAGTGTCTTCAAAGATTAATGAAGAAAAAGGTCCTATTGTCAATAAACTCAATTTTCAAAAGATTATGAGCTCATGGACTGAAAAAAATCAAAAGTAATTTCATATATCATTGTCCAGCCAAAAGCCCTTTTGGTTCTCAGGAATCTTGGTGGCTGCTGAGCTCGACAGTTTTGTATAGATGCACCTTAATTATTATTTTGGGGAAAAAAGACATACTTTGCTGATTATTTTAGCTATACATGTAGTGCAGAGAAGACTGAGAAGTTTAAATTTCCTTTTAAAATCCTGTTAGCATCCCTGTTTAGACCTTGGGCATTTTTATTTGGCTGTGGGTATCCTTGAAATTACCAAGCACTGTTTTGAAAATTCCAGGATTTATAATTCTACACATCTTATTCTTAGATAAAAGATAATTGGCTTAATACCTTTTTTGCTTTGTTCCTTTCAAGTCTGAACATTATAACCAAGAAATATGTCAAAATTAGATAAATCTGTAAATATTTTATAAATGTGGTTGATATGTACTCCTAGGAATAAAGTTTTGAAAGAGAAGAAAGCATTTTATGACTGCACTTTCATGCTGTTGCTGTCACTGTGAATGAATCACTTCACTTCCTATGATGTAGACAGCAGTGGCAAGAGAGAAAAAGTAGCAACACTAACACTTGTCACTAAAATTTCCAAATCTTGAAATGCACTTGGTAACTACAATTGTTAGAACAATTAACGAGTTGTTTTAAAGTTGAAACTTGTTTGAATTGTCTTTTCAGTTTCTAACAAGTTCTTCCATCTTTTACAATTTAGAATTTCAGTTACTGATGACCCATCTTTATAGACAACCATTCTGATTTTTTGGTTTGGTTGTGTTTTTGTTTTTTTTTTTGTTTTTTGTTTTTTTTTTTTTACCCACTGTTGGTATGACATCTGTAGGAGGGACAAATGCCCTGATTTCAACAGAATCATGACTTTGTAAGTGTGAAAACTTTCTGCAACCAGTCTTGCACTGGGATAGCTGCAGACTCTTGTTTTGTCACTGGGGCACAGTTGGGTGATCTCCAAAATAAAACTTGATTTTGTTGTAATTGGGTCATGGAATGAATTCTCTTCTAAGTGGATTTGCTGATAGGCCTAGAGCTGTTGTCTTAGACTACTGTAAGAACATTTACCCTTACTCCTGATGTTGTTAAAAACATATATTCCCTGGGATGTTATAACTCGAACTGCCTGTGTAATTGTTATGGAAGTCTGTCGTCACTTCTAACCATTTAGCATTCTTATGTGAAATCTGTGGCAAAAAAAAAGAACAGGACTCTGAATCTAACAGCGATATCTTGCTGAGTCACGTAGTTTGGGATGCAAATTAGATTTTGCTGTTTCTATCTCTTTAATGACTTCCCCTTTTGATCTTTTAAGAATAAAAAAAACTGGACTGGGACTAAAAGTCCACAATCTAGTTCTATAGTGTCAGTTCAGAAAATTTCATTTATGTTCCTTCCCTCATTTTTAGTGTAAAAGACTATAAAACAAGTGCAATTTGTGACATGAAGTGTGATATGCTTATTTTCAGGGAACTTTGAGTTTTGTTATCTGGTCTGGGTTAAGTATAATGTGTGCTGTTTAACTGCTGACTTTGCTGCTAGGAGAGAATAGCAATTGCTTTACATTTCACTCGTTTCATGTTGTAATGGGGTACCATATCAACAGAAGTGACAGGCAAGGTGTAATAATTCACAAACAGAAGATCATAGGAATCAGAATTCTGAGCCCTTCTGGATCTTCCTTTGCTCTTTCCTTGGGTAGAGCAATTTCTATAAATGAAATGACCCTGGAGATTTGGAGTGTGTAGTTGAGAGGACATTAAATAGAAAGCTGGTGTTCTGCTTATAGAATAAATGTCTTTTTTTTTTTTTCCTTATCAGAAACTTCAGTTTCATTACGTTCACCTGAAAAAACATGATTTTGGAAGGATAGCATTCTGCAGTTGTGTTGGTGGATAAGAGCTGAAAAGTCTTTATACAAGGAATCACCAGCTGTGAACTTCTGAAGGAATGTACCTGTCAGGAGATTCCTTGTCTCCCTTTTCTTACAAATATTGTAATAAAGAAACAGTTTAAAACCTCCAGTTTAACTACACACTTAAAAAGATAAGTTTATGTGCATATTTTTATTCTGATGTTTGTCTTCAGTGCCAAACTCCCAGCATCCATGATGGCTTTAATGGTTAATAGCCTGTGTAGATTTCTGGCTTCTCTTGACCTTCCTTCCAGGAGAAGCATACTCCGTTCACTTTAGGTATGCTGTAACAAATTACTTGAGACTTTACTGCCTGAGAAAAACAAGAATCTACTTTATGTTCTCCCAGTATAGTATAGTAGAGAATGACACAGGCTTTTGCTTACACTCTTTATATTCCAGAGAGATGATCTACTAGCATCTGTCCAGAGAGCGCTGCTTTATTCTTGTTGCTCTATTCCCTGGTTACAAGTAAGGGGAGCTAATCTTTGGTATTTGGTGAGTCAATTTTTGAATGGATATGAAAATACTAAGCAATACAGTAGTCAAACTGTATTTTTTTTTTGACTTTCCAGTCCTTGGTCAATTTGTTCAGCTTTCTGCTGAACCTTCTTCAGTTCATCAAGATCCTTTTTCTTGTGTGGACCTCAGGATGGGAAGACTATTTTCAGGCTGGTGGATTGCTTTCTTGCCCTATTTTCCATGTTCTTCTGCTTTAATATCAGGGGTTTTCATTATTCTCAGAGTTACATTAGACTGTGAGTTTGTTTTTGGCTGATTCAATGGTAATCATTACCAAGTGCTTAGAACATAACTATTCTGGGTTTTCAAAATATAATATATTCAGAAACATCAAGAAGTTGCAGTGACAAGAAGAATGTTAACTGCCTATCCGTATGAAGCTTTACAACATAGTTTGTAATTTCAGAATTGCAGTGTGTTATTGAAAAATAATACATCTATTCTGAAAGAACCATCAATAGATGTAGTGTGCCTTTTTCACAGAAATTAAAATAAACTGCATAAAAATGAAGCCTTAATTGCATATATAAACATCTGCTAAATAACTTGTGAGTTATCTCTTCATTGTGGTTAGTTTGATATTCTAAAAATTGTTAGGAAAGACCAAATAAACACATCTATAATAAATGTGTCATTCATATTCCTATTGCAATACTTTAATTTCTGCTTATATGAAAGTAAGGCAAACTCTGATTTCAGCAGAAATTTGAGGTGGTATCTGTTAAAAATAAAACATTTTGCTTCATGTTGGTCCGTGCGTCATCTGGAAATGAATCTGTGAGGAGGAATGGATCTGTGAACCCCTTTGTGTCACTGTCTTCTCCCACATTCAGACATGCTATTGTATCATCTCAATTGAGTGTTTTTGTTAAATAAGCGCTTTCCCACTCTCATTTTTATTCTGTATCCTGGATAATCCTTAGTCTTATATGTTACATTCTGGGTCATTTTTCCTTTCTCTGTGGCATGTGTCCATTACCCATCATGCAGCTTTAGTAGGAAAGCTATTCTGGTAAATTTAGCAGAGGAGTTGGTGGCCATGGTCTCATATAGTCTGCTCTACTGCAGCAGCTGGGAAGAGGAAGATGGTGACAGGCCACTTGAATATTTTCACTTATCATTAAAGGTAAATGGATGACTGGTTTGGTGGTTGTGGTTTTTTTTTTTTTTGTTTCTGTTTTGAACTGTGTTGTTGTAGCTATGGAAATGCTGCTTTTTTTTTTTTTTTTTTTTTGTGCCCTGTTCCTACTGGATATTTAATTCCTCTTATTGCACATAAACCCTTCAAATAGAAAAGCATAGCAAAGACTGTAGTGGTTTTGTGTGAGCATGTCCGAAGAACACTTAGATGTACTAGGCTGTGTAGTCAGTCTATCTGAAGGAGGATTCGTGTTTGAAGCCTGCAGCTGCATTAGCACACTCCTTGCATTCCTTAGTGATGAGATGTGGGAGTGACTGCCACAGTCCTCTCCTGCAAAGTCTGTAATAACACCAACCCCACTGTGGTGGGTAGAAAAAACCTTCAAGTGTGTGGATGTGTGGGAAGCTCTTTTTTGTCTGGTTATTATGTTACACTTGCATGATGACCAAGTGCTGGAAGGAAGGTTTCAGGATAATAAAAATAGTGTAATTTTTTTTTTTTTTGGCTCCTATTTACAGTGCCACAGTGCTCATGGCTTTAATTGTTTGTTTGTTTTTTTTTTTTTCCTCGTGTGAATCCTTGTACTTTATAATGGGAAAGACTGATGTCTGCTTTCATTTTGTGGCCTGCTAAGAGGTGATTTTGGGCTGTGTTTAACAGTAAATTGTAAAAGAGAACACTCTTGTTATCTTTTTGCTTTATCAAGCTCTGTGACCTGTTAGAATCTTTATGTATTTCAACCATGTTTGAGTCTCAGTTAAGTGGTTAAAATTGAGGCATTGTGCAGTCTGTGTTATGGTCCTTTTCCAACAGTCTTCAGACCTGTCTTTGATGTTACCTAACTTTATTCCAGCGTGGATAGAAAATAGTTTTAAAATACAATGTAAATAATTTTCATTGAGGATTTCCACAAGGTGTGCATGTGAGTCCTAATATTTCAGCATTTTTCCATCTTCCAGACAAAAAGGAAAACCTGAAAACTTACTTCCAAAAATTACAATATTTTAGGTTTTTTTATTTTCTGAAGAAGAGACTCAAATTGTTGGGGATGCATATTCTACTAGGAAAAGCAACGAAACCACAGACAGTACCTTGTATCTATGCAGGACACCTCTCTAGTTCTTTTTAATTATATAAGAATGATGTCCATAGATCAGAGCTACATTGGTCAGAGCTACATAGATTGCTTTATAACAAACTCTCAACTGCAGTTAACAAATGTCATCTATTGCTTAAGTCAGTAGGTGTATGAAAAGAAAAGGAATGTTCCTCACCCCTTCTTTGATCATGAATATTTTAACTGGAGCTTTCAAGCATTTGTTGGACTTTGGCAAAGATAGCCTTTTCCATCACCTATGCTTTAAATAAAAAGCATGTCACATTTTAACTTCATGTTGAAGTTTCACGTGGCAACTAATGTATATCTTGCTGCACTTGGATATATCTCTGCATGTTTGTTTCTTAAGTTGTAGATGTTTTCAGATGTAGACTACTGTATTACCATAACTGTTGCTGTGGGGACACGCAGTAGCTCTCCATCCCTCTTCAAAAAAGACGTTATTTTTTTCCAGGCCCTCCATTACTTTTGAATCCACAGTGCTATGAATTACTGGTCCATGTGAGGACATCAGTAACATCAGTTTTTAGAAGCAAGGTGTTTTCAAGGTCCTAGACCTGTTACGTGATAATACTTGAAATACATTAGAAAAAAAACCCTATAGAAATAAGGAAAACTATAAAGTAAAAAACAGTGGCCGCGATAACTTGCTTTAAAATAACATTAGTTGGGCAGTAAGCATCAGTTTTAGTGTATATAAACTGTTCTATATGATGTGCATATACAAAACTCTTTTTCTGCACATTTCAGCCTTCCAGAACAGGGCCAGTGTTGGCTAGAGTAGTCTGTCGGTAAGGACCTCTGATCTGCCATCTGCTTGCCCTGGAAGTTGTCACACGTGGTTTTACTAAGAGTTAAGGGACTCGGAGCCCTTTCTCCTCATTAGCTCCATGTACTGTGATCCACTTTCCATGTCAAGTGTTTTGCAGAAGCCCCACCCCACCTGTCTCTTCATCTCTCTAGTTTTCATTGTTAGGGTTATATTCAGCACCGTCTGCCAGCTTGTGACTTCACACCATTGGACATTTCCGTATACCCTGACCAGACAGAATTTCCTGTTTAAATTGAAATTTTGGTTAGCCCTGCTTTTCAGTGTGCCACCAATAAAATATATAATGTTTGTCTGTTTCCCATGTTATTACTCTTCCTGATGCTTTCTCACTTTTAGAGAGATCTTTGCCAAAGCTGTGTAGGAGGAAAATGCACAACTGTGGTGTGGTAGGCAGAATAATCAGCAAGTAAGCATGTAACCTTTTCCCTTTGTAGGGTTAACTGCTCTAAATTGACTTGATGTAATAATTCATTATTGTACAAAACAAAATGGGAAGTCTATATGGAACACAACGTAGACTGAAAAACTAGAGTTCTCATGAAAGTCATCTGTGAAAAACTTAAGTATTGAAATAATTATTTTTTAATCTCTAGGAATTAATATCAGGTGTTGCAAATATAGATTCAGATATTAACAGTTCTGGGAAGTCTGGCAGGAGGAAAAATGGTGTACATTTGACTCCAAGACAAAACCCAAAATTCTGAGTTAATTTGGAATTGGGTATTTTATGAAGGAGCAGGGACTTTGCTGAACTGCTTTGAACTGTGTTAAGCCTTCAGATACAAATTGTCTCATAGCCCACCGCAATAGTGGCTCATCATCCATCCACCCAATAGTGGCTCATCATCCATCCACCCAATAGTGGCTCATCATCCATCCATCCATGAAACCTTTTTTGCTTACAAAATGTTTTCAGAACAGTTTATTAAGGTGATTAACCTACAGTTTGGCTGTATTTATGATAGAATATCAAGTATGTTTTATTCTTTAATGCCTTGTAACTTGGTCTTCTCATGGGATAGAAGTTATGTCTTACAGTCATTTTAAAGTCTTGATGGTAAACTTGTAGTCTGTGAATATCTTGTGCTCTTATAATGCAAACTATTTACTAGCAATAATTAATTTATTTCTTTCCCTTTCCCAGCATCTTTGAGGATGAAAGCATGAAACTACGACAGCTGAAACTAGAGAATCAGGTAAATGATAGTGCTGAAGCTGATAAAAATAAGTATAGAGAAAAAAACCATCAGCCATCTAGAGACTTGAGAAATGGGGGTGAAGTGCTAAAAATGCTTGGTCTAAATAATACAAACAAGAACTCATTGCTAACATTTTTCTTTAAAGATTTACATGGCTTTGTTAGTTTAAGTCCACCTTGCTATGGCTTATAGGCTTGATTTCTTTGATACATGTATTTTTCATATGTGTTCTCATTTCACTGGGATTGAGTTACCACAGTGCAGGAATGAATCAAAAGAGAGGAATACTGCAGGGAATTATCTGTTTTAAGCATCAAAGGAAAAAAAAAAAGTTTCTCTGAGCTATAGAAAGATCTCCTTAATAGATCAGAAAATGTGAAATTGTTATCATTCTATAGCTGGCTATTTCACACGGACCACAAATTGCTGTATTGCATTAAAATAATCTGTGTTCAAATTAAAGTATGTTTTAGAAGAGCTTATTCTCGGCTGAGGATCTCTAAATCCAGACATAACAGTCTTCAGAGAACTGTTTCAGTGGATAATAACACTCTTTACCAAAACTTTTTCATTATTTCTAGTCTGAGTTTGGTTAGCTTTGACTTCTGACAGCGGATTTATTACCAACTTTATCTGTGTGTATATAGACACTAATCCAAAACACTTCAGATTCAAGGAGTAAAATTGATCTTTGGTCATATTTGTGGAAGCTAGGATGATCCTTTTACCTGTAGACTATCTAGTAATGCTTGTTTTTGTTTTGTTTTGTTTTTAAAAAGGGAGCAAGCATTAGTTCAAGTAATCTGTAAAAGAGCATTTAGTGCCAAATGCTGCTCAGTAAGAAGTTCCAAACAGCTTGGTGATGTACCTAAGCATCTCTTTCAGGACTGTTATCTTGGGTCATAAGCTGGTAGTAGTCACTGGCTCCTAGTGCTAGGTCAATGTATGCCTAGGTTCAGACCTGGCCGTGGGGATACATTGCTGTTCTAGTGAAACAAAGCTGCTGGGCTGGGTGGAATTCCCTTAGAACAGCTGTCAGTTGAATCACGAAGAAGTGAGTTTAAAGAATTTGCACCCTCTTGCAATTTTGTTTCAGGCTTTCTTGGATTTGTTTGAGATTGCAATCATCTGCAAAACCAACAGCTGGAAAATTTCACTAAAATGTATATTAACTCCACCACCCTTCCTTGCAAATGAGATTCGTTGAGAAATGCTAACAGTCTCTACTTTAGGATTGTATGTTTAGGTTTGGATGTTAACTTTTAAAGTCTGCTTTTAACTTTTATATGAATAATACCATGCTTTCTGAAGAAATAGAGGTCAATAGGGGATCACTATCAAGATATGATGAACTCATTGCTGGTTGTAGCCAATGCCCCACTTGATTCATGTGTCGTAAACATTTGTAGGAATTGGGATAAAAAATGCAAAATGTTTTAATCCATCAGGATCACGTTCAGAACCTTTGGTCATACAGAGAATCTGGAATAAGCATTTGCCACAGCAAAGACATAGGCCTGTCACCCATCTTTACAATGGGTTTGGAAATCCTGTAATTGCAGTACAATATTATTTCTAATAATGCATGACATCAAATTCCATCTGTGGGCCAGCTCTTCCTGCCAGGATGCTTTTCTCTAGATCACTGCCTTTTTCTTGAGGAGAGAAGGTGATGCTGCTCAGGCAGTGCTTACTTCCCCAGCAATAAAAGGCATTTTCTGCAACTCAGAGTGCAATGCTGCCATCTCTGTGGGGATGGAGAACGTGAAACTGAAGGCATATTTCTGAATGTACCTGGTGTGTTATTTGCTCTTGACATGAAGTTTCATTAATGCCATCACTGTTAGCATTGTCACTGCTGCCTCAGCATGTACTGAAGAGGAACTGGAAGAGTGGAAAGGATGTTTCAGAGCTAGGATCCAGCCCGCATGGCCTACTAAGGTGTGACCTTGCCAAATAATTAGTAGTATGGTATTGTACCTTCAAGGGTGGAGTGGTTGGAACCTTCCTGTATACCATCATAGTTGTAGAAAGAATACTAAGCTGATTGTTTTATTAGTCTGCTGTGATACAGTCATCTGACCCATCTGACTTTTTAGCTGGTTGAAAACCCATATAGAACCAGAGTTGGTGGTTTGCAACACTTTAATCTGCAATCTTGCGATACTACAAATTCTGATGTTATGCTTTTGTGTGGTGCGAAAAAAATGCTTCTGAAAGTATATAATACATGGAGTTCACAAAATCCTGAACAAATTATGATAATCTGGATCTGCTGTTTATTTAATGGGCTATGTGTTCATGAACTATCTAAACTTTTTTGTTGTAATATTAGATGAATTTTTACTGTAACACAGAGCTGGAGGAAACAGCTAGTTAGTAGACAAAATGAAACAAAATAGTTTTCTTTTACTACTTCATTTTAGTGGAGTAAGTCTGAGAATACATAGTAATGAAGGTAAGGCTGCTCTGCCACCTTATGTAGAGAAAATTAACTGCTACTATCTATCTGTCCTGTCAGTGGGCTTGTAGATTTTTTTCAATCTCAATAAGCAAAGGAGTAGAGAGAAGCCTTATTAAAACAAATTAAATTACTGTCAAGTTTTGTCACTTTGATTATCCTGAAGTTCTTGCAAAAAAAAGATCAGTCACATCTACCAGCAGTAAAGCGTGTTTCAATATAAACTAATAAGATCCTGTTGGACTGGTGAGTCCTGGAAACTCTTTGATGAAACACAATGTACTATAATAAGAAAAAATAAATTTCGAGACTGATGAGTAGTGAAATGTTTAAAGAAGCTCATCTAATGGAATAGTCAGTTAAGTAGCTCTGAAAGTTGTTCTTATATTATATCAATATCTTATATTGATCCCAAATTCAATTCCCATTCAGGCAATAGCTGTGTACTGTCTTACTGCCTTTAAAATGTGTCTATTTTATTTTTCTCTTGTCTGTTTATTTGTCAGGTAGAGAAGTCTTGGCAACAGTTTTTCTCAAAACCTTGTTCTGAGTAAAATATTTTCATTCTTGTTTTCCCTCCTTTTATTTAAACTATTAGAGGCTCATAAACTATCATGATTTTTTTTACTTCTCCTCAGCATTAATTTAAAAAATAAACAAACAACACAAACCAATGTAAATTCTTCTGAAGGATCTGACTACCTTTCTAGAAAACAAATTTTATCTGTAATTAGCATTTTCTAAGAATTCGATTTCTACTGCTTATTTTTCTTTTCTTCTCCTAGACCAGTGTGATAATTTCTTTGGAATTCTGTATAATTTTTGCCCTGCAGGGCAATCATTGCAAATAATTCTGCAGTAAGAAACACTACCTGTATTGCAGTCCAGTCTTCAAAGTGTAATTGAGTTTAAAGAAAAAAGGTCTTTTTTTTTTTTTTTTTTTTTTTTTTTTTTTTTTTTGTTGTTGTTGTTGTGGTTTTTTTTTTTTTTGGTGCTGGCTTGGTTGTTTTATGTTGTTTTGGGCTTTTTTTTAAATAAGGGCTTGAAAAGCAGAAGGAGTAAAGGACCAGGGGCAGAATTGTGTTGGAATTCCTCAGGGAGATGTTGCCTGAGAAACTAACCTCACTTGAGATAAAAAAATCTAATAGGAGAGGAAAGAATCAACAAGAGAGAGAAAAAACATAACAGGAGAGGACAGGGTTCCAAAGATGTCTCTCTCAAGTGGATTGAATTGTTGGTACTGTTTATCTGATGGATCCTTGAAAACTGAAAAGGATTTGATGGAGAAAGGGTTTCTATCATCAAGAGGTTTCTATATTCAGAGGGTGTACAGGTACCAAGAAGTAGTCATGGATAAACTGCATCTGTGGCAAAGGGCTTGCACATCGATTGCATATTGGTACATTACAGAATATTAGAATGTGATTTTTCCTTCTTTTTTCATGCATTGCCTTAACTTTTAAGGACTAAGTGTGGCTATCTTTAACATGGTGCAATGTCCCTGTTTGCCTTGATTTAAGTCTAGAAGTTGTTTCTATTCTCACTTAGTAGGAAATCATAAACATCAAATGTATATGTATCTTGGAAAAGTGATATTTTATATTTCAACATTTGGATTTACCATTACTTTCTTTCAATCTTGAATTACATGGAAAAATTTTGCAGGGTAGATAAATTTTCCTTTTACTGGATCAGTCCTATTTTGATGACTGTAATTTTTAGATTATTTTTTATTTTTTTTCCCCCCTCTAAGTCTTATCCCTCGACACTGCTTTCTGGGAGCTGTTTGTTTTGAGTTCTCCATATGTGGGCTTTTGAGGCAAAACCCTTTTCCTTTGCAAGCCCTGGCTGTTTCATAGTGTATTATAAATGACTGCTGAGTTTGTCTATTAAGGATTGCTGCAGTTTAGACTGGATGGAAGGAGTTCATATTATCTGCTGATGGTCTCAGGATAGATCAGAAAATAAGCAGGTGTCCACATCACCCATCAACTACTGATGAAGAATCAAAGGGAATGTCTCGCTCCAAAGACACGGTGATATCTGTGTCTAGGATTTTTATAAGAGGTTACAAGAGTATTTCAGGTTTACTGAAGATCCTTATCAGTGGTGTATCATTGCCAATGGCTGAGGCATGATTTCTGCCTTTCTGGATGTGGTTACTCATCCTTATTTTATGCTTTTTCTTTATTTCACAGAGAGTTCTTCTAGAGAAGAAGCAGAGGAAGAAGCGCCTTGATCCCTTGATGGTCCAGCCAAATCCCGAGGCAAAGCTGCGTAGGTCAAAGCCTAAAGGGTGCGAGGAGCAGACTCCTTTAGTAGAAACTCCTACCCCTTTCAACAGTCATGTTAATTTACATGGTAAGTAATCAACCTGATTGCAACAATGTTCCCCAAAATGTCAGTGCATGCATCTTAAGTCACAGATGGACACCTACCTTGCTGTGACAGTGGCCAAGTGATAAACAAGACTGATTACATACCTTTCTATGTACAAAAGTAGACTTGTAATACAGTATGGTTGAGCAATACTGAATTCTAAAAACCTACAAAGACCTTACCTTGAATTTAGTGACAGCTGAGAATCTTCATGTGCCTGTGAGTAATTTCTCCCTTGTGTTAGGCTAAGAACTGTAGAAATGGTTTAGGAACTTTTATAAATGTAGGAAGATACAAATGCAAAGTAAGAGACTCTCTTGAAGCTGTATGATTGTCCTGGTTTGGGCTGAAATAGAGTAAATATTCCTTTTCGGGAACCAGAAGAATGCTGTGTTTTGGATTTAGCTTTGGGTTTGGTATGGGAAGAATGCTGACAGCACACTGATGTTTTCAGCTGCTACTGAGACTTCAAGGACTCTCCGACTCCCCATGTCCTGCCCGTGTGCAAGGGCACAGGGAGCAGGGAGGGAGCACGGACAGAGCACCTGACCCTAACTGGCCAGTGAAATATTCCATATCGTGGAATGTCATGCTCACTGTATAGAGGAGGGGTGGTTGGGAAGGAGCTCTCTCTCGCTTCCGGAATTGCTATGGCAGGATCTTGGTATTTCAGGATCACTAGCTGGGAACGGGCTGGGTATTGGTCAGCAGGTGGTGAGCAATTGCATTGTGCATTGCCTGTTTATATTTTCTATTACTGTCATTGTTCTCGTTTTATTGCCATTATTGAACTGTTCCTGTCTCAGCCTGCGAGTCTCCCTTCACCCCTCTAATCCCCTCCCCCCATTCCCAGGTGGGGAGGGGGAAGGGAGGGTGACCAGCTGCGGGGGTTGGCTGCCGATCAGGCTCAAACCACAACAATGATAAAGAAAAGGAAATAATTCAGTAGTGTCTGCCTGTATGTTTCTTCATGGTATGGTATACTCTATCTCAGGATTACATATGACCGAATGATAAAGTAGACAAGAGCAAAACAAAAGTCTTGTGATTACTGAATTAGGTTCTTGCGGATTTTTATCTCATCTGTTGTTTTCTGTGGGCTTCAGGGAGACGACTGAAACATGACAAACAAGCTATAGTGGTCCAGAAATTCACAAGCACAAAGTGATATCAGAGCCAAAAGCAATAATTCAGTGATCTCAAAATATTACAGTAAAATAGTGACTATTCTGTTAGGAGTGCAAAGAAGTACAGTAGTGAAAGCTTTAAGACTTTCATGTCACACAGAGCAAAAAAGAGCAGCAATGAAACCCCTGCATTCCAGTGGAAGTGTCAGGAAGTAGTTTGAGAGCTAGGATCCTGTTAGCCTATCAAGAAAGTAACAGGAAACATCCTAAGGCTTTGAGATGCATGCTACTGCAGGATGATAAAATACCACCATTCTATTAGTTGGGAATTAATGTCTAGAGTAGAGTTTTAAAAACCCAAACAAACCAGTGTTACCTGGTTTGAAGATCACATTCAGAACTACGTTATCCTCTGTCTTTTTAATGTTTTTCTTGATCTCCAGATGTCTTTCAGGATCATAAGATGGGGGAGACTGGTGGTGGGAACGGTAGTGTTTATGTGTTTAAAATTAGGTGGGAGAAAACTGTTCAAAGACACTTTCAGGTCAAAAAGATTTTGAAATAAAAGATTGATATAACTTCTAAGTTAGGAGATTTCAGTAATGCTGAAACTACAAGAAAGAAAAATAAAAACTAACTGCTCCCTCACTAACTTCCATTGTTCTGAAGCTTCCTCAGTACAATCAGATCCTGTTAGGAAGTGATAATAGCAGTAAACATGTCAGAAACCTGAGGACTAGATAAAGAGTAAAATTTTAGAAAGGAAAATGGGAAAGCAAGAAATCCAAAGCTGGAACTGCACTTACTTATGGTGTGCTACATAAGCATGTATTAAGTATCTTGCCAGACCCTGCCATCAAGATGTTTCCACCAATTACAAAGTGCAGTGCACAGCTGTGTTGAGTGTTTAAACATGGAAATTTCATTTCTACCAGAAAGATAGAGAGCATCCATTTACAGGCTTTTTCTGCCTGCTGTTGTAGATATTTTTATCAAATAGATTTGTTATGTTCACTGTAGAGCACTCACTCACTGGCACAGGAGGAAATGGAATGGAAAATAGAGTAGTTTCCCATAAATAAGTTGAAGGATATCAATGTGCATGACAAGTACAACTCGTTAAAATAATTGCTTAAGCCCTTGTGAAAAAGTAAATACAGTTACTATATTTATAAATCGAAAAACTCATGCCTGATATGTTTAAAGTAATAGGCAGTCTGCACCAGAGTCAGGCCTGACTCCTCCCAAGTCTTCTGACAAAAGTTGAGCAAGTACTTGAACAAGTCAGTACTTTAAAGCTATACTTGAGCAAGGGAAGATGGAAAGAAGCACCGTCCTGGGATGTGTCTTTAGCTATAAAAAATAGATGTTAGCATTCTATTTCATTATGGCCTGCAGGCATTGATGGACCAGCTGCTTTCCTGAAATCAGAAGTGCAAGATTTGGGGACCAAGCTCCAAACTCTTTCTGCTGGATCTTCCAAAACAGAAGACAATGCAGATCAGGAAAATGGTGGAGAGGCTCTAACAGACACAGCAGGCAAGCCAGATTTGCAAGAAGTCTTACAAAAACGAGGTAGGAGTTAATGGACAAAGGTCTTTTTCAGGGATTTTCTACTTCTTATAATTCTTTTTCAGTAGCATTAAAACACCTAAAAAAATATGCAGAATCAAGTGTCTGTAGGATATTACTTTTAAATGCAGAGCTAGTAGATTCTACAGCATGTAGAAATGTGGAACTGCAGTTCCTTCTTACAATATTAATTAGAACATACCAGTTATGTTTTAAAGGCTTATCAACATGCTATGTAATTTGTGGCCTTATCAAGGAAGTTGGTGACAAAATGCTATACTTAAATTTTGCTAAAGTTCAGAGTATTTTTGTTCCAGATATATCTGGATATGTTGCTTGAATATTTTCACAACAGCAGAATCCTCTATAGCCAGTAATTCTAGTGTTTAGGAGACTAACAGGAAAGATGTTCTTCCTGAGTCAGAGGCCATCACAATCAACAGCCTTAGAGTTTTATATTCAATAGTTACATTCCATTGAGTAGTTTCCCAGTGGAGTGTCCATCTGTCTGCCAAGTATCTTATATTGCTGCCAGTACCACAGGAAACCTTTTTTGTTGCATGCAGCCCAAGAACTTTGCAGCAAAATAGTGGCTAGTGTTTAATATGGTACACAGCTTGTTTTTATTTTGCAGAGCCTGTCTCCCAGAATGTTTCCAGTACACTTAATATATTAAGGTACTACAATAAGTAGAAATACTTGTATTCAGTTGTCAGATGCAACAGCTGCTTACCTATGGATAGCAACATTACACAAGAGCAAAGGAAGCAGGAGAGAATATCCAGAAACTTCAGGGGAAATTAGTGAAGGTAGAATATAAACAGTGAATTTTGAAATTGGCCGGAGTACTAGGGTTAACACCTTTGCTCTTTCCAAATGTGCTTTGGGGAGTTTACGGACAGGTTGTTAAGACTACATTTTCATGTTTCATCCAAGACAGAAAACTTCCAGGAGTGCCCCTTCTATGCAGTGCCATGTTGGAGTACTGTTATAATATTGGCTTTCAGAAACTAATTTGACTTAGCAGTCTGAGTGTGTTCATTTGCTAGAATGCTTTATGTGCTTTTCCATTCTACAGCCAAATTAAAGAATGGAATCACAGAACAAAATGATGCAGTTCCAAGTGGAAGGAAACACCAAACAGTGAAGTGTATGGAAGATCTTTATAAATGTCTTTATCTGGAGTTATTTTAGTTATATACCTATCTCTACATAACTGTACTTAGGTTAAGATTAAATAAGTAAGTCCTGGAACTACTCTGTCTGTGCTTCTGTTTTAAAAATCAAATCATCAGTAGTATTTATGAGACCTGAGTTATCACTACTGATGTAAGAATAGGAGAGGCTTTTACTGAAAAACTATCTTACTCCATTTCAGTGTGTATAAGACTAAAGGGAGATGGTAAAGGATGTAAACTGTACGGAGTCCAACTTACAAGATAGGTGTCAGCATATTGATCTGGATTTCCTTTTTTTGTTCTTAAGACATAGAAGGCTTTTTTGCATGAAAATAAGCAAAGTTAATTCAATGACAGCATATACAAAGCAATATGTTACATCATGTAATATGTAAAATATGTATTAATAAAAGCCTGACAGCTGCTCAATCATATGCACAGAGACAGCTGCAAAATGTCAGTAGGGATTTGAATTACAAGGCTGGAGAAGCAATATAACACATGAAGAAAATCAACAGTTGAAACAACAGGTATTATTTAGAAGAGTGAATAGCTATGCAAGAGTCATATATGAATTAGCGATGCAATGAACTCATGACACCTTCTTTCAGAGGTTACCTGCTTGATCCTGTATTCTGACAGGAATTTCAGGCAGTTTGAATTTTGATGAGGAGGACACAGAAGAGGAAGAGGCAAGTAAGAGACCAGCATCTCATTCACAATATCCTGAATCTGAAAGGCCTAGTTCTACAACCAGTGAGAAATCTTTTGCAGTAAGTGTCTTGAAATCCATTTCTGTTAAGTGCTGGGCACGTGCTTGATTTTAGTACTACTTCCTTGAGCACTGGGTTAAAATAGAGTTGTTGCAACTACAGTAGCTAGCATATTAATCCCTGAAGGAAGAGGAAGGTCATGATTGTCAGGTTATCTGGCTGAAGGGCCACTGAGTTAAAGCACAAAGACCTAATAATGATCAAAGGAACAATGGTGGGCAGAGGAACCCAAGTAACCCCTTCAGTGAACATGGGAACACAGTGAATCAGCTACTCCTGTGACCCTCAAAGGAGGCAGATTAGGCCATTGTCTGTGGTGTAAGATCCACCAAGATGACTCAGAGAAAATCTGAAATGCCATTCAAATTTAAGAGGGATCACTGCTTGAAGATTTTTAGCATTTATCGTGGGATGCAAGGGGGAAGTGAATTTTGGGATGGAAGAGAGAATTTTGGAATTGGACAAACCTTCTTATAGGGTGCTTAGGGCATGGGACTTGAGGGGAAAAGAAAGGGCTCGAAGTGGATAAGGGTTGAGGTGGATCAGGGAGTAATAAGCATGGGAAAATAGGGAGTAAAGGGGACAAACCCACTAGATGCATGTGAACAGATGCAAGACAGTATGCTTGTCTGTCCACGCCTGCTCATGATTACTGCAGTGTGTCCTAATATCTTCTAAAACTCTGTTTCTAACTATTTCCTGTGTGAATGTGTTCTTGTGTGTGTCTTTGAGAGACACATACATACATACACTGACAAACTATATGTCAGACTAGCCAGTGAGTTGGAAGAGATCAGCTTCAGGAAGACCCAGGGTCTGAGCTAGTGACCTAATAAAGGGCATAGGGTTTGGGCATGAATGCTGGACATCATTAAAAGTCCACGATAGTGTTCAAAAGACCTGCGTCAGTGTGTTTGTGAAATGACTGTGTGTATGTTGTGCTACGTTAGTGGGTGAGTAGTACAAGAGGTCTGGGTGTTAGCTACTTGGGAGACTGGGTTATGGGTGCCAGCTGCTGGAGGTATGGGAAGTGGGGATGCTTGAATGGAGGAGGAGTGAGAGACACTAGTGAACTTCAAGTCTGTGTGTGTACCTATGTGTGTATTCACTCAGACTTCCTACTGGCTGTACCTGGGAATGGGGATAAACCAGCAACCTCATCTCTAAGGCCTGATAAGGGAAGAATCTCCTAGGTTATACAATCCACTGGATACTTCTAAGAGAAAATTACTTTAATAACCTATACCAGATTTCCCTTAGAATTCCACTTCCTTTTGTGAACATAACTTGCATCCTGACTGTACACGCTGTTCTAAGATTGTTCCATTATTTAGCTGAGATGGTTCCACTATCAGTTTACTCTGTATCTGCTACTGTTCTGAACCAATATAATCTCAGTGCTCATTTCAGTCACAAAAATCCCAGCCTGTTTTACTGCAGCATCCATCAGTCCAGTTTATCATGCTACCACCCTGTGGTACAAACACCACAGGGTGTTGGAAGTTCTAAAACCAGTAAGGTTCCTTGCTTAGACTATTTACACTGTCTCATCCTATTTTCCCCTTCCTAGCAATTCACTCATCTCTGGTTAATTGGGACTTTTTCTCCCCTCCTCTTGGAGGGCTAGTCTTTCCTCAGAGTAAAAGTCTTCAGCTACTTGCTTCAGAGAAACACAGGTGGTCTCTCATTTAACTTCCCTTTCCCAAATATCTTCTTCAGACATGAGATCTTCTGTTTCAACACACCTTCCTTTTCTTGGGGAATACTGGAGCCTCTGATCTGACATTAATTTGCTAATATGATGGTTCTTCTCACAGGAAACAGGTGCTTCCTATAGTCCATCCCCTCAGGCAGATGCACAGCTGGGAGAAGTAGAGAACTTGGAGGATTTTGCATTACGCCCTGCACCCCGTGGTATTACAGTCAAATGTCGAATCACTAGAGATAAGAAGGGAATGGACCGGGGCCTCTTCCCTACTTATTACATGCATCTGGAAAGAGATGACAACAGAAAGGTACTGGAAGCAGCACACAGTATCTTGGCTATTGTACTCTTACCACAGAATATTTCTGATGTAGGAGAGGGCTTCTGGTAAGAAACCAGAAGTTGAGGAGACCAGCATGCAGATGAAGACAGTTTATATTTGGCCAAGGTACTAAGGAAGGAATCAGCAGGTTTAAAAGCCATAATACAATGAAATATGAAATTTTAAAAGTATAAAAATGTCAAGGTTATAGAAGAGCAGGGAGACTGAGGTGCTCCAGAAGAAAAGGAGAGAAGACTAGAAAGGACAGTTGTGTTAAATCTAGACTGCTGAATAAGCTGACTGGAGGAATAGGATTTCAAGGTGTGCACTTGTGGAAGAGATCAAAGTTGTGGAGACAGTAATAACAGCACAGAACAAAAGGGGAATGGATGCAGGAAATGGAGAGATAAGTTTGGATAGCAATGCCTCTGCATTCTTACAAAGCTCCAGTATTGATCAAAGTTTTGTATTTCCAGACATTCCTCCTTGCAGGGAGAAAACGAAAAAAGAGCAAAACATCCAATTACCTCATATCAGTTGACCCAACTGATTTATCCCGGGAAGGGGAAAGTTTCATTGGAAAACTCAGGTGAGAACCACAGTTGAAAACTACAAACAAGAGAGATTAGATTCTTGTTTTAATTGGGTTGGGGTTTTATCAATTCAGAGAATGAACTTGCATTGTCCTGCTTAATATAATCTGTATTCACCTGGGTTGGCAACCTTTCTTCAGCATTACCATTCACCGTGGCAATTCAGAGAAGGAATTCTAGCTTGATGCTTTTCCAGGATAGGTTAGAGGCTCAGTTCACCATGGGCACTTCACAGAAGCTCCTTACTGAGCTGGAAATAGGTAGATTCAAATGGCAGGAGATGTGTGTTTTCACTCTGCTGTACAAATACCTTCATAAGATGACAAAACTTTCCACTGATGCACCTCTCTTTCTATGTCTTTTCATAACCTGACATTAGGTCAAACCTCATGGGAACTAAATTTACAGTCTATGACCATGGAGTTAGCCCAGTCAAGGCACAAGGTCTAGTGGAAAAGGCTCATACAAGACAGGAGCTTGCAGCTATTTGTTATGTAAGTAGTGCCTCTCCCCTTTTGCACCTTTCTTTTTTGTTGCCTGTTACCAAGGAAATGGGCCATACAAAATCATGCTGCCTGGTAGCATCCTCCACTTAACTTTGGAACCAACTGCTCAATTTCAACCAGATACAAGGAAGGGCAGAGGCCTCAAAGGTAAGTTTTTACAAGTGTAATGAAAAAAAAAAAAAAAAAATCAATGCCAGGAGAGGGAGTGAGAGCCAAACTAGCATCCTGAGGACTTTCTTACCTGGGCTATCATTCATTGTGAGGCCAGCCAGCATATCCTTTACATGGAGCCAGCCACAGCATTAACTGTCTCTTGCCCAGCTGTTACCTGTTGAACAGTAAGAAGAAACTGAGAGTACCCTGTGAAATTGTTTTGCAGAACCAAAGGCATTTTGGTAGATAGGAAAGAGATGGTATTACTTCAGTAGCAGTCTGTTGGTAAGGGTATAGTTCTGGGGGAAATCATGATTTATTAGCTGTGTCCTAGAGATGTTTTCTTCTTCTGGTCTTGTGTATCACCTTGGTCTTGGCTTCGGAGTGAGGAGGTACCTGTGGACACTCTAGAATTATGTGAGGGTTCTCACACACATTGTTTCATATTCCAGTCTTAAAGTTTGAGTAAAATCTGAGGTTATTACAAAATGATGACCAGTCAAGTGAAGGATTTTTACTTTTATCACAGGTACAGCAGCAGAAATTTGAAGGTGCATTAGCTCACTGGAGCATGAGCTTGGTTTTTTTGCTGTTGATCTTAATGGCACTTGGGGGAAAAAACTGGTAATTCCAGTACCAGCCTGTTTACAGAAGTATCACTGGATATTTTCTTTGTATGCAGTATTCTTCAATTCCCCACCTAATTGTACACAACAAGGTGTTAAAATGAGTACAATAGATAATAACAAGTCAACTTTTCAGATTATGAACTTCTTATAGATAAAGTTTACATATGTAATGGAGGTTGCAAATCCAAAGACCTTTGTTTTGCATCTGCAGAATGCACTAGCATGTTAGGAGAAGCTGTATCACTTCTATCAATCAATTCAGTACTTCTAAAAGATTCTGGCTTTTTAATTGATCTTTGGGAATTTTAAAGGTTATCACTGACATTGTTACAGAACACTTTAAATGGACCCTTGGATTTTAGTTGACATTATTAAATGCATGATTTTAGAATGCCAAGACTTTGTTACTTTGCTTTTTATACTCAGTTCGCCTTGGAGCTGTCTCCTGCTACTAGTAATCTGGAAAAATCTGCTTAAGGTTGAGCCTTGGACAGATGCTGAATACTTTGACTTCTGGGTCTGTTCTTAATCATTTATAAAAGAGCATGATTTGAGAGAAAATTGTAGATATGCTCCTAAACACAAATAACAGCACCGAAAGAAGAATGTCATTCATTCTTCAGGAACATTTTAGTCTAAAAGGTGATATATACATAACATAGACTCAGGTCAAAGATACTTGTTTACTAGCAAGATTTTAGCATGTTTTTGCCTCAAATGCAAAAACTTATGCCTGGAAATTTCACTTGTCTGATTTCATTATAAATGTTGCATTAGGATAACAGGTGCACTATAATTAGACAACACAGTTCTCAAAAAGGGAAAGCTGTTCTCAGTGATTAAACACAGCTGCAGTTAGATAACTGCTACTACACTTATAGCTAGTAAATCTCTAAAAAACAATATAAATATGGATTCAAGTTCATTTTTGCTGTCTTTCCTTCTTTGAGATGGAGTATCTCATTTACTGAAAGTAATGTCTTTCTGTGTCTTTCAGGAAACCAATGTGTTAGGATTCAAGGGTCCCAGAAAAATGTCTGTGATCATTCCAGGAATGAATATGAATCATAAACGAATTACAATCCGTCCACGAAACGTGAGTTACAAAGTTTAGTCATGTTTCAGATTGGAGGAAGAGATTAAAACTTTCTTGTAGAGGTCTATCAGGGGTTTTAGAGCAAGGTTGTTAATACCCAGGGCTTTAGCAAGTCTTATGGAGAGTAAATACAATGTAGCTTGAACATGTTGATCAATTTGTTCTTGTCTTTTACCTAGTTTGTGGCCTTCTGAATAGTGTTTGGATCCTCACTTGTCCTTTGCTCAGCCTAAGTATTAGTTACTAAACTATTGCAATGGCTAGTGTATATTGTTGCTGTTGCACCTGCAACCCCTCCTCACTGTTACACTGAGAGTTGGGTGAACACAGAACAGGCCTGCTTCTTCAAGGAGCTGACATTCTTAGCCATTATATTAACTGCAACAGATAGATAATAAATAGATAAGATGGTATTCTGGTGTAATAGCAAGCGAGTAAATACATTTTTAATCAGAGTGGTGTCAGTCTCTTTGTAGGAATTGCAAAAAAAGGAGAAAGTGGGATGAGCAGAAGGATGGAGTTTTGTGGTGTCTATTTAGTGAGGATTTTTCATACACATGGGGGATGTTATAGCTAAAAGCTTACAGAACTGTATCTGAAGATATATTAAGGAGCATGATGAAAATTGTTCAGTTCCCTTAACATGGGTTTTATTGTTGGTCTGATAGAAGACCAAAAAGCAGAAAGGACAGGTGCTGACTGAAAGACATGGTCAATGTGTTAAGCTAGAAGATGGTATTTGTAGCCATGTTGTGAGTAGATATGAGTAGGACAAGAGTGTGTTTGTTGGAGTCAGAGGGAAAAAAAAAAAAGTTTCAAAAGTGGAAATTGAGTCATGAGAGCCTGGAAAAGAGGTTTAATTTTGTGAATGAGCAGGAAAATTGTATCTGGAGGTGGTCATTTATTCATATCTTTCAATTGGTATTGCCATCTACCCTGTCAGTACAGTAATGATTTCATGGCCCTACCATTTTTTTGTTTTTATCCTATTTTCCCAACTGTTTTGCTAGCAGGCAAGCCTAGTGACAGTGGGCAAGGCTGAAACATAAAGCCGTTCTCAAAAGTTGGCAAGGCGTTCAGTGTAGGGATTTGACTCAGTTTTTGTCTTCCTTCTCTGTAGTGTGATGCCCCCACTTTACAGGAGGAAAAAATGCATCTAAATGCACTTGAGTGATAGTTCTTAAAGTTCCTTTTGTGTCTTTGTCCTGGGTTTGAGTGAGTGGTGGGGTTTTTTGGTGGCAGGGGAGGGGGCTATAGGGGTGACCCCCTGTGAGAAGCTTCTTGAAGTTTCCCAGCTCCAAGTCAGCTCCACCTCTGCACCAAAACTGAGCCCATCAGCTGTCCCTCTGCAATAACGTATTTAAGAAGGGACGTGGTGAGGAGCAGTGGGACTGGTGAGGAGGAGTTGCTGCAGCTGCATGAACACCAAGGTCAGTGGAGGAACGGAGGAAGAAAGGAGGGGGGAGGTGTGCCGGAGCAGAGACCCCCCTGTACCCTGTGGGGAGACGGCAGGGCGTCCCCCCCTGCCACCCATGGAGATCTACAGTGGAGCAGACATTGATTTATGGCCTGTGTTTTTCACCTGGCATAATCAAGGTGCTGTGCCCGAAGAAGGCCGGGGTCTTGTGGGAAAAGGCAGCCCCCGCTGTTGTAGTTTAGCGCTGGGAGGATTGCAGCATGCGGGGGAGTCCCACGCCGGAGCAGCTCGGGAAGGGCTGCAGCCGTGGGAGGGACTCCAGTTGGAGAAAGTTGTTGACCCACACCAGAGCAGTGTGGGGAACGCTGCAGCCCGTGGGAGGGACTCACGTTGGAGAAATTTTGTGGAGGACTGTCTGCTGTGAGAGGGGGACCATGCTGGAGCAGGGGGAACAAGTTCCAGAAGCTCCCCCCACCGAAGATGGAAGAAAGCAGCAGCACTGACTGCACCCCCCCATTCCCTGCCCCTGCACCACTGGGGGAGGAGGTAGAGATATCAGGAGCAGAGCTGAGCCCTGGAAGAAGGGAGGGGTGGGGGGAAGGTGTTCTCAAGATGTGACAATGCTTCTCACTGTCCTACTCTGTTACGTGTTGTTGTTAGTGTCTGTAATAAATGTATGTTCTTTATTTTTCTTCCCCTAATGAGTCTGCCTTTTGCCCGTGACCATAATGGGTGATCTGCTCCTCCCGGTCCTATCTCAAACCCCAAGCCTGGCTCATCTGTCCCTTCTCATTGCCAGAGGAGAAGGGGGAGAGAGCGGTTGCGTGGTGTTTGGTTGCTGACCAGTCTCAAACCACAACAATCTTTTAAAAAGTAACTAAAGATATAAAGTAACTACTTTAAACCGAACAGTAAGTTTTATTTAGCTTATCCTCAAGAATCCATTATCATATCTGTCTACAATACTAAAACAGTTACTATAGCCATATCATTTAGACCTCTGCAACAGGTGGTTTTCTGATAATTTTTTCCCCATTAAATACCTTCAGTTTGGATTCTTTTTCTTGAGAGTTTTAGCATATATTATTTCAGTTTAGATTTTAATTGTTGCAGAACTTTTAAAATTAAATCATATGTTATGTGTTTTACTCACTACTATTTGTAGCTCCTTTAATTTATTCCATTTGTCAAATTTAGTGTGCTGTTTTACTTCCTTTTTGTATCTTTTTGGTTTTACTTTTCTCTGTTTTTCATATTGTGCATCACTTATTAGACCCAACAGGATGACATTTAACCTACGTAAGGCATACATACAGCCTGCTGCAGCTTTTGGACTTGCCACTGAAGCACCCCAGGGCCTGACACTATGCAGTTAATTGTAGACTATTTTCTTTTGTTTCAAGGTTTAGGATCTTAGAAATGGAAGTTGGATCCAACAGGATCAGAGAAAGCTTATGAGACTCAGCAAGGATTCCTGCCAGCAAGATGGCAGTCATTTGTGACCTGTGAATTGCTCCCTTTCCTGTACACACACTTCTTTCTCTCTGTCTTTTTTCTTGTTTAGGTGGAAATATGATGGTAGGTTATTGATTGTAAAGGAATGCTTGGACTGGGAATCCATGAAAGTATCTTCCTGGTACTTGCAGGAAATTTTCAGTAGGACTGAGTTTAAGTGCCGTCGTTGTGTTTCATTAAAGAGGAAATGACCTCCCAGTGACAGAGTGCACACATGTGAGAAAAGCAGTACTCAAATCTGATAAATATATTTCTCTCTTCTGAACAGGAACACGAGAGTCTGCTGTCAAAATGGCAAAATAAAAATTTAGAGAACCTAATTGCGTTGCACAACAAAGCTCCAGTCTGGAACGATGATACTCAATCCTACGTTTTGAACTTCCACGGGAGAGTCACTCAGGCCTCAGTGAAGAACTTCCAGATTGTCCATGACAATGACCGTAAGAGTCTGGTCGAGAGTGTGTAGAGCTTATTCAAACAGGGAGAATTTATTTCATGAGGTTTGGGAGGAATAGGACACCCTTCCTGGAGAAGGAAGGCTGGGTGGAGGAATTCAGCTGGGGACTTTTCAGCTGTCAAAAATTTATATAAGGCATCCCTTTTTCTGGGGTGGGTGCAGAGACTGCTGTCCATAGCTGCAGCAAAAATGGAGCAAATACAAGCTTCCTGAAGGGAAAGAAATGATTAATACGGCACCTTCAGCCCAGTGAAACAGCGGTTTGAGCTTTGGTTCTGAGAAGAAAGGTAATCTCTAGAACAACACAGTCACTCTAGAGAACAGATTTCAACACCACTCTGATGAGAAAGGATGGATATTTGGGGCTGCCACACATGTGTGTTTTTTTATTTGTGGTTGTTTGTTGGGTTTTTTAGGGTTTTGTTGGTTGGTTGTTTTTTTTGTTTGTTTGTTTGTTTTTTTCTTTGCTTCACTGTGAAATTGTTCATATCTGAATCTTTCTTTTCTCCCCAGCTGACTACATTGTGATGCAGTTTGGTCGTATAGCAGAAGATGTGTTCACTCTGGACTATAATTATCCTCTCTGTGCTCTGCAGGCCTTTGCTATTGGACTCTCCAGCTTTGATAGTAAATTGGCCTGTGAATGAGAGACAACAGACTTGACACATGGAACTTGCTCCCCTCCCTGCATCTTGTTGTAAGAGTTCCAGTTGGAGTAATGAAAAGCACAGTGAGGTTGGAAGGGAACTGGAGGACCAACTTCTGCAGGCTTATTAGAAAGCAAATACCAGGCTCAGAGCATTATGGTAGTTGACAACAGACCATTTTAGAAGACTGTCCCAAGGAATTTAGCCCACTGATTGGAATACATTGCAGCAAGGATTAGAAAAATTATGCTTTTGTGTTCCTATACCTTGTAACTTCCACAGTGCCCCAGGAGGTGATGCTACTGATGAATTCAGGCAAAAGGAGGACAGTTATTGGCACGTGTTCTCTTTTGCTGTGTGTAGTGTTTTGCTGTCTGTTAGATCAGTCAGACATGGAAGGATTCAGGTTATGGCTCTGTGCAACTGTAGGTAATGTTCAATAAATACAGAGTTGGAATGAGACATATTGGCTCTAATAAAACTCTGTGGGATGATTCTCTGTTAAGGCTCATAGTCCAGTTCCCTTTCATTATTCTAATCGCTCCATATCCCTTGACAGTTGTTTTACCAAATAAAGCACAATCACATCTCAAATGCTCCCTTTTTAGTTGGTGATACTATATCCATTGCTGTTTCTGTTATTCTTAACCATGTGAAAAATGAGACTGAACAGATGATAGAATCTGATTGAATTTGGCAGAGGGTAGTACTGTAATAGTATACAGTGCTGTTCCTGAAAAACAGTGTTCTGATTGATTGCATCTAAACTGTAAGCTGAAATATTTTTAATTTGTCCACTGTTTGTAAAATTTGCTACATTTTTAGGAATAACTTAGTGACTGATATTTTTTTTTTTTAGTGTGAGATTATCTCAAGTCATGACATATTAAAGTAGGTTTTATATAAATAATTTTAACCCGACTGTAAGGGGTTACCTCAAAAGGAGTGTAGGTGTTTTCAAAGGCATCAGTGAATTTAAAAAAGTTGATAAATGTATCACAGGGCTTTGCAATGTGTCCTTGCAGTGTTCTATTTTTAATGCTGGATGTACAATATGGAGACTGTAGGTCACAGCATGGAGCGCTTCTTGATTCATGTGGCCTTGATTCGTCCAAATGAATTGCTGCACACTGACATGTAAGTCTTGTAGTGTACACTCTGCTGTGTACCAAAGCAGAGAAGTTACTATCTCAGATGTGTCATGGCTGTTATGCATATTCATGATGATCCTGGAAAACTCTGTCCCTCTATTGAGACAAGAATAGGTGTTCTCCAGCTTTGGATATTGTCAGCAGACTAGCTCTGTTTCCAGCTCCAAAGAGCCAGATTTATTGCTTTTGGTTTCTGGAGTCTTTACAGTGTTAGATATCATTTGGTCTTTCAAAATAATTAAACATTATGAAGACGTTTTCTGATATTGCCAGGAAAAAAAAATTATGGTAATCATGTGTAAATGCTGTATGTAACTGTAAATTATTAATTGATGCTGAGAACTCCAGCTCGCCTATCTCTCAGCTGCCCATTCTGCGTTAGCTGGTGAGCCATTGTCTTGTGATGATCTCATCAGCAGAGCAGTCCCAAAGAGAACTTGAATCATGGATCTCTTTTGTGCCTTCATGTACTTTCTGCTCACCAGACTGGAGACAAAACCTGGCAATATTTTCCAGTTGTGTTCTTCTGAGTTCTTGGCTGATGGCCTTGCATTCCCTCTACGCATCCAGAGAAACTAAGTCAGTTTGTTACCTGTCTGATTATTTTTCTGACTAGGACTGTGTGAAAGAAACTGCCTTATGTTAGCTTGGGGTAGCCTGAAGGTAGAATGCTGATTTCCAATTCAAAATTACTTTCTCTGTACTCAGAAGGCCACAGTAGCATCCCTTTAGTCACACTTTCAGTTAGGCTTGTCAGCAGTGGCTCTTCAGGATATTTGTGGACACCAAATGATCCTAGCAGGGTCAGGGCCTCTGAGTCTCAGTCAAATTACGCAGACAGGTGAACTGATTCAGTGTTCTTTTATTAGATAATGCTTTACATAAATTTGTATTTATAACTTTTATATCTAAATGAAAATAAACTAATTTATATATTGAAAAAATCCTTAATTATAAATGAGTTTGGGTTTTTTTTAGGATTTTGCTGTCACTTGTGGGTATTCTTTATTCCTCCTGTAACAGATACTACCTCAGTTTCTTCCTGTCTTCTTGTACCTCATCTCTCTTGTTACTCTCCCATTTCCTCTGTAATCCTCAGTTCTCTTCCTTTGTGGTGTTTTTTTGATCTGATCAGCTTGCCCAACTCCCCTCTGCCTTCTGTTCTAAGCAGAACACTTTGCTTCCACAATACCACCAGTAAAGAAAAACAAAACCCCACAACATTTAGAAGTCTGGGAATAAATGTAAGATCAGTCTCTCTAATACTTTTTTTTTTTTTCTTTTTTCCTGCATCAGCAGGTCTTCCTGTATGGTTCTTGGTTTCCATTTGATTCTCTCTTTAAGCTAGTTGCATTTCTTCTCTGCCCCATGTTTTTAATGTTTCTCCTAGCATCCAGTTAGGTCTTTTGAGATGGTTCTTAATGCATTTTCTTACCGTCTACCTGAACCTGTTCTACTATTGAAGTACAATACCATATATTTCTGAATCAAGAACTGAAATAATACAAGGCCAGGAGGTTGCTGAACTAAGTTGAAGTGCTTATTTTTTCCACTGCAAGATTTATGAACCTCAGTGAGATAATCAGAAACTGATATAGCTCTCAATGTATAGGCTCTATTCTTCATGCACCTCTTTTTTTCCCACTATTTCCATCTGACCCAAATTAAGTTTAGTTGGGAGAGAAAACTGAGCAGGAAGTACTATGGGCATTTGTTCTTAGTACAGTAATATCAGTTGCATACACACAAGTGTAAAATTCTTGAAATCCCAGAGAGATCTTAAAACAAAGAAGGAGGCACATTAAACTGTTAAATATGAATCCTTAAGGCAGGCCTAGCAGACTAAAACAGTTCCTTGGCTCAACAAACAAAAGACAGTGAATAATTTCTTGCATTCAAGGGTCACTTCCACTCTCACTGAAGTTTTGCTTCTGAATTTGGTAGCAATAGGACAGGGGGTTTCATTACTGTTGGCATAATAACTGTATTATACTTAGTGTGCTCCTCTACTTGCTGGTATAAGCTCTGTAAATCTCTCAGTTGACATTGAATTAGGTTTCCTGTTCCTGGTACAGAACAAAAGCAAAGCCTCCCCTGTGATTTAGAGGTCAAGAGCTAAGACTTTGTGCAAAGTCTTGTGAACTATGGACAGATTCCTCCTTTGACAGAGTCAGGAATCTCGTCTTCTCTGCCACAGTGTCAAACTGTTGTACGTAACTGCAGTTATGCAGCTGAAACCTAGAACTAAGAAAGGTGCTTATGGTATCCTAGGGCCAAGAGATTTGGCCCAGCATATGGTTATGAAGGTGAGTAGAAAAGCAACACTGGTATAAGAGCTTCCTTACTAACAGGGAAAACAGCCTGCTAAAACTGTGAAGTGGTAAGAATTTAAAGTTCTGCCATGAAAGGAGGCAGAGACCCTGTACCCACTGTTATTCCTGTATCTTTTGAACTACAGAGTCTATAGAGTTTTTATCTTCTCATTCTGGCCCTTAACATGTTCTATATGGAATTATTCTTTCCCTGCTGGAAGTTGGAAGTCACTTCTTTGGTCCCAAACTGGGAGAAAAATCCAGAAGCAAACTTCAATACATAAATGGGTGAATGTATTCTAGAGGATATAATTTGTGATCATTTACTTTGATTAAATTAACATTTCCAAACAAGGTGAACCATTACACTGCCTGCAACAAACCAGCTTAAAATTACGAAGAAAACAAAGGATTGATTTTTTTTTTAAATGCTTAATTAAATTGAGCTATTTATTAAAGGGAAAGTAATACTATTTTACTGTGAAAAGTGACTTTATTTTAAAATCTGCATATCAAAATCATTCAGATAGAATACAGATAGGGTTGGGAAGTTAAGTCTGATCAGCTTGCCCAACTCCCTCTGCTTTCTGTTCCAAGCAGAATAGTTTTCTTCCACATTACCACCAGTAAAGAGAAACAAAACCAAAAACAAAACAAACAAACAAACAAACAAAAAACAACAAACCAACACAACCCACCACCAAAAAAACTCTGTTCTCTTACGTGAGTTTCCATCTGCAATTAACTAGAGTCCTGCAATCAATTTGTGGCATGATTCACAAGAAGGAATAGGTTTCAATTCCTTCTCTTTGAGCTATGTTGATTCTGCAGGGAAATAGGAGCAAACCAGCATGTTAGTCACATAATCATGAGACCTGGCCTAGAATTCACAGTGAACACATGATGAGAAGTGAGCTACCTTTAATATATCTTTGTTTTTCATTAAATTACTTGTTTTAAATACGGCTTAGTAGAAGCAGTGGCTAAACGAGATCATTACTGGGCTTTATATAACAAAAATCCTGCAAAATAATTTCACTGCAGTTTGTAACTTCATCTTGTTTATATTGTATGTACTCTTGGTTCCTACAGTTGTATCAGAAAACTTTTTCCCTAAGTATTCATAAAATAGCTGCATTACCTTACAAAGAAAAGTAATTAAGTGTATTTAAAAAGATTATCAATATCTGTTACCTTCAGCACTGCCAAACTTTAAAAAAAAAAAAAAAAAGAAAAGAGCTGGCCTGCCAAATCCCAAGGCTAAGTTTTATTAAGTTGATGAGTTTTGTCATCTGAGGCTGCAGGACACATTTAGGTCCTGTGTTCAGTCTTCTCACTGCAACTGGAATGAGTTACGAACTTTTTCAGCTTTGGGTTCTTACCAAAAGCTGGTGTTTTTCTTAATCCATTTCTTAAATATGTTGAAGTTTTAAACAAAGCCAAGCGCGGTGTAACTCTACCAGGCGTAGTTAGGCGCACACCAGACGTCTGTGACAAAGTCACCTGCTGGAAACACTTAAGAAGTTTACTTAGCTGCACAGCCCGAAGGTGCTAATAGCACGTCGCTACGTTTACTAAACTCGCTGGTTCACTACTGCTTTTGTTTTGGGGCTGTAGCTCACCCAACCCCAGCGCAGCCCGTCTTGTACCACCGCTTTCTAGTGCAGCATGTCGGCATTCCGCTATGGACGGAGAGGAAACGAGCATCTCTGCCGGGAGACTGAGAAAAGCCACCGGGGACGTCACTTCGCTGTTAGGCGAGTAGTTTTCCTTTCGGGGATGCTCTCGGGACAACTAAAGCGTTACAACAACTCCTGCGGCGTTAGGTTTGGTTTGTTTCACAGCGGCGTTGGGTGGAAATCACAACCCACCCCTCAGGGGCTCCGGAGAACTGTTGCCCGCGGGCCGCGCCTGCCTCGAAGGGCTCAGCCAGGGGAGCCGGGCGGGCTCCCCGCGAGCGGAGCCCCCTCAGCCGGCGCTGCCGCCGGGGTCCCGCCCTGGGGAAAGCGCCAGGCGAGCGGCGGCGTTTCCCGGGCTCTGCCCGAGGCCGGCTCGTCCCAGGCGCGGTCTCCCAACTTCTCGCCCGCCCTCGCCGCGCCGATTCCCGGAGGCGGTGCCGTCCCCGCCGTTCCCGCCGCCCCTTCCCCCGCTCTCGGACGCCCGGAGTTTCCTTCCTCCGCTCCCTCCCGTGCGGAGCGGCCTTCCCCGCCCCCCCGGGCCCCCTCTTCCGGCCATTGCCCGCGTTCCCTCCGCCCCGGTCACGCTCGGCCCCCGGTCGGGGAGCGCCCGGCCCCTCTGGGTTTTGTTCCCAACTCCGCCTCGGCCCTTCTCTCACCTCCCCTCGCTGGTCCCCTACCCAGCCCCTGCGTTAGCCGTCCCCTCCCCTCGGCCGCGTTCATTTCATACCAACTCTCATTCCTCGCATTCCTCACTTCCTCCTTTCAAACTCCAGGGGAAATAAAAACCCTCCCTTTTCTTCCCAAACCCCTGCCCGACCGCGGCGGCTGCCGCCCCCTCCCCGCCACCGCCCGGGCTCGCCGTCCCGCCGCCCGCTCCGCGCTCTTCAGGTGAGTCCGCGCCTTGTGCCCCCGCTCCGGCCGGCCCCGGCAGCGCCCCCCCCGCCCCGCTCCCCTCCCGGGCCCGGCCTGGCATTGTTCGCGTTGTCCCCGCCGCTGTGGGACCAGGGGAAGGGGAAGCCCCGGGGGCAGCCGCGGCGCCCCGGCAACTTTTTTTTCTTTCTCTCGGAATCGGGGGCGGAGGAGCTGACGCGCCCGCTCCCACCCGTGCGGCCTCGGGGGGGGGGGGGGGGGGGGCGAGGGGCAGGCGCGCTTTAACAGCCCTCATCCGCTCTTTTGGCAGAAAGTCCTGGAGCAGAAGGAGGGTTTGAAGCCGGTCCCCGCTGCCCCCGCGGAACAACAGCCGCTCTTGCCTCGCTCAGGTCAGGACACGCTGTTTCGCGGTCGCTTTCGCCCGGGGTGAAGGGGCGTCGTGTCTGGAGGAGGGAGAGTGAAAGGGAGGGAGGGTCGGGAGCGGGTCGTGTGCGCCAGGGGAGGCACCAGCCGTACAAAGGAGGCGATGGGAACATCCTTAATGGAGGCTCCGGCGGCTTCGAGGGTCTGTCGGGGCTGCGTGAAGGGACTCCGTGGCTGGTCGCATCGGCTGAAAACTGCTAGCGCTTTTAACGGGAAACAAAAAAAAAAAAAAAAAAAAAAAAAAAAAAGTTTCTGTATCGTTCGCAGAGATATTTTTGGGGAGAGGAGGAGCAGTACTTTCTGTAACAAATTTTAATGTAAATTATGGAAGGTATTTGGGGGGAAAAACAGAACAAAAAAATCATGAGCAAACCCATCCGTGAGAAGGCATGTGAGTTGTTACAGAGCATTTACCAAAAAATGAGGGAATACTGTGGTCCCAGATCAGTTATTCTGAAGTTAGAGTTGAGTTTTGGTGGTGTGTCTCTGGAAAGGATTTAAATTTAAAAAAAACACCCGTAACACCAAAAACCAAACAAAAGCTTTCCCCAGGTAATCCTTTATCTTATGTAGATAATTCAAAAAATTCCTTGCATGGGATGTTGAAGATGGGGCTTTTTTTTTGTAGAAGGGAGAAAGGGTGTAGCTCTATGGATTTTAAGAACTTCTGTAAAGTACTTTATGCTGAATGGTCATATATTAGTAAAAATTAAAAAAAAAAAAAACAAAACCAAAAAAAACAACCAACCAAACAAAACCCAACAAACTCAACCACAACTGATCTACCATTTGTTTGTTTGTTTGTTTTTGCTTAACCTGAAGTTACTCATGTTACTTTCTAACCTTAAGAATTGAGTTCTGCAACTCCTCTACAAATAAACAACACAAAATACTTTTCAAATGCAGGGGGCTGGGTGGGAGGGAAGAAGACTTGGGGTTTTTTGTTGTTGATTTTTTGTTTGTTTGCATGTTTTTTTGTTTTGTTTTTGTTTGTTTTTTGTTTTGTTTTGTTTTTGTTGTTTTATTTTTTTTCTTGTTTCCTATTAATCAGAACAGATTGGCTTCCCTTTGACTTGATCTGCATTGTCTGTGTGCAGAGTGAGTGGAGCATTGCTTCACCTGTCTGTCCGTCTGTCTGTGTAGATGTAAGAGGTTTTATTGTTCTTCTACTGAAGGAAGTGGGCAGTAGGACTGGGCATGTAGTAATGGGGAGGAGTGAGAGGAACAGAACAAGGGGGAAAGCAGACTGGGTATGTAATAAGTGCTAGGGTTGAAGCTGCTGTACTAATCTGTGCAGTTAAAGCCTTTTGGTCTTGATGGCTTTTTCTCACAACAGAGAAGAGCCTGGATGGCGCTGTAATTAATACAGAGGGGCTTCTTTATTAGGGCTGTTGGATGCTGAGAGACTCTGTTTTTTTTTGGAACTTGGGTTGGCAGAGTGAAGGGCAGCCAGCCAGAGGGTGCTGTCACATTATGAGGTTGTCCTAAATCCAGATCTGGATGGCTCCTTCAAACTCGAGCACACGACAAAGTCTATTATCTCTAAACTGGACTATCATCTCCTTGCTCATATCATCTCATTGCTCATATCCTCTCAGAGGTGATCTTGGGAGCAATTAGTGTGCATGAGAATGGGTGTTAGGCACTGTCTTGATTCCTGCTACATCTTTTAGATTTTTGAAATTAATTTTGCCCATGACTGAAGTATTGTAGGTTATTTACTGTGATAAGTGTTTTAATGTTAGTGTATTACAGAACATGTATGGGAAAACAGTATAAATATAATACTGCCAACTCTGAAGAGAAAAAGGGCTCCATGGCACTGAATCTTGCTTGTGGTCTAAAATTAAATCACAGTTCCTGTTTGTTTTCTTACACAAGTATTTTTCACATAACTTGAATACAGTAAGTAGAGTTTTGAGAGGTTGCTGAGAAGTACAGTTTCCGATAGATGCTGCTTGCATCTCTGTTTGGAGTAACATACTCATTCATAGCTGTCCTTCTGTAGTATTATGTGTCTTTTTCTGATTTTTCAGCTCTTGGTTCTATCACAACCTAACTCAAGAAGTGGGTCCACAAAGACTTTAAGGTGGCACAGCTTTAGACAGAACCTGTGCACACAGCTTCAAACTGTCAGTTTCCATACTCAGAACACTTTCCTTTGTCACTGGCAGGGGTATTGGCACTGCTGTTTACTGACCCAGGCCAGGGGGCTGATCCAGATAAAAAGTAACACTCTCTTTTAGCTATTTAGTCTTCAGCTACATGTGTTCTCCAGTCTGGTTAATCATGCGGTCACATAAATGCCTTTTCTTGACCACATTGCCATATTTTCTGACCTTAAGTAGTTCCTTGGAGCATGTCTACAGTTGCTTCTGTGACAGTGAAATGATTTTCTGTCTTGTCTGGCCATGACTATCCTAAGAAAGCAAAAATTCAGTGTTACCTTTTTCAAAAGATCTATTATACTTTCCCTATAGCTCTGATTTGTCCTTTTTTCATTTGTGTTTTTTTGTGTGTGTGTGTGTTTTTGTTTTGGGGTTGGTTGGTTTCTTTGTTTTCCCATAAATGCTATGCAGTGGATCTTCCATTAATTTTCTTGGACAACTTTTCTATTGCCCAATGTACTTCAACATCAGAAAAGTTTTCTTAATCTACTGCAACAGTTTTTGCCTTGGTGTATATTTCTGTGAAATGATTGCTTATTCTCTCTCTGTCTCTCTGCATTTGCACCTTTTAAATTCTTACAAGCTACTAATGAGACTGAACTTTTAATATTTTTCAATGTCTCTTATTCTAGGCATAATGACTGTTTTTCATATTCTTCTCTTCAATCTATCTGTGTTCCTTTAGCAGAATGAGATCTGATATTCCACGTGTTGGAGGTGATTCATCTCTCTTTGTTGCCTGCAGTGGTATCTGAGCACAGGCAGACAAAAGTTACATTGGTCATTTTGTAGAAGCATTTGCTTTGCAGACAACTCTCATTTCTTCAGCATTCTCACTCTTGCATGTCTTTAGCTCCTGCTTCTGGCAGAGTTTTTTTCCTTGATTTATCTTTTTTTTGCATTATTGTCCCTTCATTTTAATTACTTTTCCCATATATTCTTATTTGTCTCTCTTGTTTGTTTTTGAGCTGTCTGAATCCCTTTGAATTGTTTCTGTCCACTGATGTTTGTAAACTTCATTCTGCATCACCTGCAAGTTTCATTAACAATGCCTTTATTCAGTCTTAGATCTCTAATTAAGTTGTCAAAGAAAACTGGACTGGCAAAGATCCCTACATCAACCCAGTATATATCCCCTATACCTGCAGGTTCCATTGGTATATATCAATATATGTCATTATACTTAGTTTTGAAGCCTTTAGTTAATTTTCTAATAGTATGAGCAGTACTCTCCAAAGCCAATTCTATCCTCCTCTGAGGAGCAATCGAGTTTATCAATATTGACAGTAGTGTATGCGCCTCTTTCTCTCCCCAACTTCTGCATTATGCCTACAACCATGCTAAATAAATGCCAAATATACTCCTTTGTAGAGCATTGTGAGAAGTCAGGAATTTACATGCATGGAGCTCATTACAAGACCTGAGACTAGATGATTATAAAGAGTTCTTTGGGGCTTGGAGGTGGTCTTTTGGGTTCTTAGGGTTTTTTTGGTATTGATTTTCTTACTTCTGGGGTGGGTTTTTGTTGTTGTTCCTGCCCCTTGGGTCCTCCTTTTTCTGGAGATGATGCAGTCGCTCCCCTTTGTTTTTAACACCATATGAATTAGACATTTTCCTGCTAGGGAGGGGCAGGTTTTCCAGTTCCCGGTGCCACTGGCTGAGTCACTGGCTCGGTTTTTCTGTTCCATTGTAGGTTTATAGTTACCTTGTTCTTACCTTCCTTTGAATATGATTGCCAAAGGGTAGATGTTTTACTTTGCTGTGCATCAGAGACGTGGTGCCAGTAGCTTTCAGAGCCTGGACACAAGCCTTTGAAACACCTGCTTTGCTATTTCCAAAGAGAAAATAAATTAGTATAGTCCTCAAAGTGCTTCCCTTCAAACAGTACGGTAACCATTAATGACAGATGTGCACGCAAAGTCTAGTCTCTTGTAACTAGAACTGCTCTAACTTGAAGGAGAAAAAGCCGAGAGAGCACTGAAAATGTGTATACTGAAATAGAAAGAGGGGATTTGCTGATGTGCCTTAAAATCATTTTACCTGATCATGCTTCTCCATGGCAGGTCCTTGAAATAAAGCTCGCTGATAGACTGGATAGATAATCCGGACTAGCAGGATTTAGAAAGGTTCTCCTAGTTTTCAAATCTTGTCAGTTTAGGGAAAAAAAAGAGAGACATGTAAGAGAAATATTTGGATAAGAAGATTTTCTCCAAGTATACTCACTACTTTTTGATTTATCTTTATAAAAATAAATAAATAGCAATCTTGTTTATTTTCCTGCCCCAATCTGTTTGTGAAGAATCTACGTGAACAGAAGAAAATAACTGTCCAGGGGAAACGATGTAAATCACTGTTTCTATCCACCCAGTAAGCTAACTGAAAACAGAGAGGCAGTTTTTGGTCACAGGTTTTATTTGTAAAAACATGTTTTAGAAATTAGTAATCTGTGGTTGTGTCCCTTTAAGAATCTAGTTTTGCTTGGCTAGCTGCCCTTTTTCTCCTGTAGATTAATCCAGCAGAAGGTATATAACCTGTTGACCTTCCTGGCGAGAAGGGTCTGGAAGGGCAAAGAGGTAAATCAGAAAGTTAGTGCTTTCCTGTAATATCTGTTGGCAGGTTTAACCTGTATTTTTTTAGGTCTTGGCATCTCTTTTTTTCTCTTTTTTTTTTGCTTAGTGATTCTTGTTTGAGGGTTGGGGTTGTACTTACAGATTCTCGTGATTTTCACTTGCTTTCTGTGAAATTCCTGAATGTTCAGCAGTTTGGAAATGACAGTGTTTATGCCATTGTTGAGAGGG